GTAAATGGATGGGGGTGGTAGCCAGAATTCGCCCTGAAAAGAGATTCCAGAGGGCTTCTTATGAACCGTTATAATTTCTAAAAGGACTTCTTATAAACTGTTTTGGAGAAGGGCTTCCACATTGTGGTTAAATTCATAACTGCTTGAGTCCCACAGGATGATTTAAATAAGAATGAATAGTGGGCCCTGGACTTAGCTCAGCGATGTAAGCCCCTGGCTGGCAAGGCGAAGTCGTGAGTTTGATTCCCGGTACCAAAAAAAAGGAAAGAATAATATGGCCTTTTTTTTTTTTAAACTTTAAAGACATTTTTAAATACTTTTTTTTGGCACTAAGAATTGAACCCAGGAGCATCTACCCTTTAGGTACATCCTCAACCCTTTTTATGTTTTTATTTTGAGACAGGAACTTCCCAAATTATCCCTGCTTAAATTGCCATCCTCTTGCTTTAACTTCCTTGAGTAGCTAGGATTACAGGCAAACACTACTCCAGCAAAATAAACAAAAAAATCCTATAAAAATAAATTTAAAAATCATAAAGGGAGGGTAAAAATTATCAAGATGTGATATGATTTGTATCAATCCTCCAAGATAAACGTAATCACCATGTATTGGAAACATATACTACTTTAAAACATTTTTTTTAAAGATGTCCAGTCCAGACACAGAAAAAAGAGCACTATAAATTGCAGGGCAGCCTGGGCTACACACTAAGTTCAGGGTTTCCTAGACTAAATAGCAAGACCCCATCTCAAAAAAATTTAAATTTAAATAATAAACCAAGCCAGGCACGGAGGCGCATGCCTGGAATCCCAGCACTCAGGAGGCAGAGGCAGGAGGATCACTGTGAGTTTGAGGCCAGCCTGGGCTACAAAGTGAGTTCAAGGTCAGCATGATCTGCATAGCGAGACCTTGTCTAAAAAATTAATTAAGAAGGGAAAAGAAAAAACAGGAAAATAAGGAAAAAGTGGAAGCTTTTGTAAATGGAGGGGGTCGAGGGGTTGAAGGGAAGGTAGGGAATGGGGAAAAATGAATCAAATTATATCATGTACAGGTGAAATTTTCCATGATGAATATGATCATTATGTATATCTAAAATGTACCAATAAAATCTGATTAAAAAAATAACTCAAGATAGAAAAATCAGGCTGAATAATTCATTAAGTTCAGTATAAAAAAGCTACACTGATGACAGGCATTACAAAAATGACTGAGTGGGGCTGGGGATTTAGCTCAGCGGCATAAGCACCTGCCTTGCAAGTGTGTGGTCGTGAGTTCAATACCTGGTACCGATAAAAAAAGAAAAAGAAAAAAAAAATGACTGAGTGACCATCGTTGACTTTTGAGAATAGCCTGCAAAGTGGAGGTAAGAGGGTAGGACAGAGAAGAAACAAGTGGTTTCAAAAGTCCATAGATAATAAGCATCTTGAATCCAGCTCCCACCCCTCAGTTGTATCCTCAGAGATCCATTTGAGGGAATCCTTTGATAAAAGCTCGGAAATGCAGTCACAGCAACTGGGAGCTTAGGGACAGTTGTTCTCAGGGAAGAAACAGTACAAATTATGCTAGAGCCTGGTGTAGTACAGTGTTACCAGGGGAAATACTTGGGACATTCAGGAAAGAGAATACTAGAAATGTGGGGGAGGGATCAGTTCACCAAACCAGCTAATATCACTAGGCTGGAGTCCATAGATTTGTCTGTCTGTCTGTCTGTTTATTTACGTAGTCCAGGTTATTTTTTAACTCATTGTGGAGCCCATGGCAATTCTCCTGCCTCAGCCTCTCGAGTGCTAGGATTATAGATCTACACCACCACATCTGGCATTTGATAGGTTTAACATAAGGAAACTATTCTCCTGAGAGTTAGACCTCAATTCCACCCTCCCACACAGCAACCATTTGTTCATATTCAATGTACAAGCCATGCTGAAAGAAGGGCACTCGTGGAACACTTTGGCAGACAGAATGAACACAGTAAGAGTTGGGACAGCAAGCCAAGGGAAGGAATTCCAAGTTGTAGCTTTGAATGGTCAAGTACAAACACAATAGGCAGATTCCATTAGGAACTAACTTTATTAACTGTGTAGACTGTAGAGAATGAAAAATCTCAATTTGGTATTCCAAAGATGAAAGAACTTTTCAAAATGGACTCAGAAAAATGGAAGCAGGGCCTATGTACTTTCGAAGCTGTTATTTAGGAATCCCTTACATACAGAGGTTACATCTACCCTTTTTCCACAGGAATGTGAAATGATTGCAACCTTGGACCCCTGGATATTAACACTGTGCCCAGAAACTCAAGTTGCATATCAAAGTTACCAGACACTTGTTTTATGGCTAGTTTTACTAAATATACACTTTAACTTTCATCCCTCAAACCACCTCTTTTCTCAAAGATTCCTGCAAGTTTTCACTAGTATATACCCATATAAAGTCCCACTTTGCCATCCTTCCCCAGAACACTCATTCAGCGCTATCTCCCCAGATGCAATTTCTAAGACCCTCAATAAAGTTCTCTGGTTTTTGAACTTGAATTGATCAACAACAGGGTCCACTGCAAAACCAGAAAGTTACTCAACTCTGACATTACCCTGCATATAGATGCTTAGCAGGACATAGGAGTCGAGGGACCTTGAATGTGTTGGCCCTTCCCGAGCATGCAAGGAATGTAATTTTTCCCCCATTTTAAAATGCAGGTGCCCAGAGGCAGGATCACTGCTTTTGATCACACACCAGTTCCAAATGGGTCCTCTCACTACCATTATACCCTGGTTTGGCCCCAGGATCAGCGCCTTGGTGAGGAACTCAAAGCAAACCCTGGTCCCGGTTCTGCTGGATTGTGCCCATCGTGCAGATGGAAGGAATGAGCAAATGTGCACAGGGCTCTATGGATCTATTCAACGCCACCGTCATGCTAGCCTGCACCTTCAGTCACACGTTATGGGCGAGAGGAAGATTTCACCTTAAAGCTGGAGCAACCAAGCTAGCGTGTGGGACCAGGGAGCGTGGAGCAGTAGTGCAGAGCAGACAGTGGGAGAGCGACTGGGTTCCTCAGAGGTCAGGGCTGGGTCCCCGGGGTTATGGCTCCGGAGGGAAAGGACAGGCAATGCAAAGGCAAAGGATCATAGGGCACGGAAGGTCAAGGTTGGCAGAACTGGAGGTTCTTAGGAAGAAGAGTCCAGGTCACTTGAAAGTCGGGGCATGGACAGAACTTGGCTACTGGTCCCCAATGTTCTTTTGCCCAGGGAACCCCAGTCCTCGCTCACGTCCTCGGGTTTGACCCAAGAGGCCGCGCAAGGCCGCTTCTCCAGTCCCGAGGGCTCGAAGCTGGCCGAGAAATTCTTGTCAGCTTAGTGGTCGGCTGTCAGGAAGACGGAGAGCGAGAGCAATAGTGACCGCAAAGACGTCAGTCCCACGAGAGCAAAAGTTCCAAACCTTAGCCTAGTACAGAGTAGGGGCGGAGCGCCGCTGGGATCAGGCTTCTCATTGGTTGAGCAGACGCACCGCTCCCCAATTGGCTACGCAGGCCACGTCCCCGCCTCTGCAGACTGGACCGGCGAGCTAGCTCTCATTTCCGGAAGTCCGCGGCGCGCCCCCTACAGTCTTCACCCACCCACTCGAAATGGGCTGCTGGGGGATTTCCGAATTGAGTTGGAATTTTCAAATACAGTACAATTAAAATTCTGGGAGCGATACGGACAGCCTCGATCGCATATAAATTACTATAAAATTATGCATAATAGAGGAGGCTTCGGGAAGGGGGGGCGATTGCGACCTTCCCTGTTCTATTAACAGTTTATTGGATATCACATATCAGAGGGGTTTGTTACAAAGACAAGGTAGGTTGTGACAGTCTTGAGAGGAAATGTCTGGGACAGGTGACAAGTTTGTGAACCACAGTAAGAGACGAGAAGACAATAGTCAGAACTAAGAGCAGGTATGGGAGAGCAAGGCTGCTCAGCAACATCTGGAGGGCCAACAACCAGGACCGCTCTGTATCCCACCTTTAGGAAACAGTGACAACAGCAAAAAACCTAGGGGAGTGTGACCATTCTTTTTTTTTTTTTTTTAATTTTATTTTCTATAATTTTGGTGCTGGAATTAGCACCCAGGGCCTTGTGCATACTCTACCACCCCTGGCCTTTTTTAAAAAATCGTAATTTTGCTGTGAATCAAGGAAATCACCCTCTACTTCCCATCCTCCAGGGAAGGGGAAGTTGAAAAGTCTCTGGCTCGGGCCACCAGACCTGGGGTCTCTTCCCCACTCTGCCTTTACTTCTGTCCCCTGTCCCCTCTGTCCCCTTTCCTGTCAGTGTTTGCCCGTGGCCACCTGGCAGGCTGCCTTGTGTAAGGGGAGCAGTGACACCTGGGTCACTTGAAAGAGTTCACCTGTCTCCTAAGGCATGTAATTTACCTCCCAGGAGTCAGCTTCTGTGCTGGAGAAAACAGCTGATCCACAGAAGAGTTTTAATTGATTGCCGAGTATGACCATTGTTGTAGCTCTTCACCTGGTCAACCCCATTTGTGATGTAAGCTCAGTCTATGGAGCATGGAGCCTGCTCCCTGCCAGGACTGAAGGGAGGAAACAGGAGCTAAAGACCCCAGAGGTATCATCTGAGCTGGCCTGGGGCTCAGGAGGTCAGGGAAGTCTTCCAGGAGAAGCCACATCCGGGCAGAATGCCTTATGAGCAGGAGGAGCACTAGATAAAGAAGATGAGGAGGGTACAGCATGAGCCAAGACTGGGAGTCCAAAGTGGAAGCCGGGGTGCCCAGAGCAGTGGGGGCAGTTTCATGCTTTTAGGCTCAGAGCAGTGAGAAATAGTGAAAAGTTTCAAAAGAAGAAGAAGGCCCTGTAGGCATCCACTAAAGCTCTCCCCAAAGGTCATGTGGAAGTCAGATATTGGGGTAAACATGAGGGAGGAGACAAAGAAACCATGTGACAAGGTCTGGAGAGAACTGTGGACCAGAGACCTATAGACACGTCCAACCCACACACAAGGACTCAGGCAGCCCCACTGCTTTATTCCAACAGCCCAGCTTTTACACCAGTGGCTCCACAGGTCCAGGCCACTTGCTCACTGTAACAAACTCCGCACTGAGTGCAGCAAGTTCTCCTTCACGGCCGGGTCCAGTGGAGGTGTGTCCTTGACCTTCAGGATAACTGCGTGGGCTTCCCGGAACAGGTCCTCCCCAACCACAGCTTCCACACGCTGGCGCCATTTGGCCAGCTTGGGTCGGTTTTCAAAAACTTGGCAGCCAGCGCCGACAGGCTAAGGGAGAGGAAGCCAGGTGGAGGTGCTGGGCACAGCCAAACACAGCTCAGCATGGCGTGCTTCAGGTTTCTCTGATAGGAGTTTCCCACCTCCACCACGTGTGATGGGTTGGGGATGCCTCTCCCAGGGAACCCTGACAAGCTACTCCATTATCCCAATGTGAAGCTTATGACGACTCATTTTATAGATGAGGAGACTGTGGCTCCTCCAGGGTCCCAAAACCAGAAAGGTCTGGTGGGGACCTAAGTGGGGAATTCAGCTCCTTCTCAGCACTCCCTAGTATTCAGGGAAGTCACACACACACACACACCCATGGCACTCACATGCATCAGTTCTTCGATGGCCATCAAGTCAGCCACAGAGATTTGGGAACCAGTGATGAAGTCCTGGTCTCGAAGGAACCTGTCCTCAAGCAGCTGCAGGCAACTGTCCAGGTCAGCCAAAGTGGATGACAATGTCTCCTGAGGCACTGGCTGACCCAGCACAACAGGGAACATCATCTGGTGGGCCAACAAAGACAGAGTCAGAGCCAAGCATGGCAGCACAAGCTTATACTTGAAGCACTGTGGGAGGCTAAGGCAAGAGGTTCAAAAAATCAAGCCCAACCTGAGCAATTTAGTGAAAACCTGTCTCAAAATAAACAATAAAACAGGGCTGGGGATGTTGCTCAGTGTGAAGGCCCTTGGTTCAATCCCTAGGAGAGGGTAAGGGAAGACTCTACACAATGCCATCCTTTATCCCACCCTCAGTCCAACCATCAGCAGTCCTTTGGAATTCTCCTCTCTCACATCTACTCCTTTCCAACTGAAAGTCTTCCAATGTCCCCTACTCAGAACCCTCCCCAGTGCAGCAGCCATTTCTGTCCCTATTCCCCACTCACCTCTGACCTGCACCTCAAGTTGCTTAAGTGGGACTTGTGTGAGTCCAGTGAGATGTAGCTAAAGTCAGCAGTCTCTGGCATTCCCAGGACTTAATATTCTAATGTCCCATATCTGAACAGAATGCTTAAAACAAAAAGCGCCATTCTTGGAGCTTCCCATGAGCTGTCACCTGCCTCCCTGGCTCACCTTCTGCCACAAGGCCCGTGTGCAGCAACTCCGCAAGGCCGTGTGTTGCCAGGACAGGTACTCATCCACCCGGGCTCGGGCCCGCAGGTCCTGAGGGTACCAGTGATCAGGGGTCTTGTACTTGCGACTTAGATACAGCAAAATGGCCACACTGGGGGAACATGGGAGGAACAGAAGTCATGCCCTACTTATTCTTCCTCTTTTTTGGGGGGGGGAGGGCATGTTCACTCTTCACACACAGGAGGAATGTGAGGCTCATGGACATTAGGAGGCAAATCAGGTTCACACACCCTACACTGAGTCATTCTATTATCTCCACTAAGAATACCAAGTGAAAAAAAAAAAAAAAAAAAAAAAAAAGAATACCAAGTGAGCAGCAAAACACATGGAATTCAAGAGCCAGGAGGTTTGAGAAGGCTTCCAGGAGGAAGGGGCACCCAATGTGAGTTTCAAAGAATAACAGCAACTTGAGTATCATTCCCCAACATACACATAGGATGGACTGAGCCAGGAGCAGGCCACTGCCCCTCTCATAATCTCCTGGAATTGGGAGAGGCCTCCCAGGTCACAAGGAGACTGCTCTTCACCTGCTCTCTAAGTGCTTAAACTTTCCAGCCACCTTCTCCGCAAAGCCCTCCCTGATCTCCTCCCTTTACTTCTCCCCTGGGCCCTCAAGCTCATCATGCTTCCCGTGTTGGACAGTCCACTGACCACAGTCTCTGCCACCGAATGGCTCTGAGTATGAATCTGGCTTACTATGGAGGTACAGTAGAGGATATCACTACCAACCAGGAGGCCTTTGGTCCACCTCTCCCACCCATATCCAACTCTTCAGCTTCACGGTGGGATTGTCAGAACCAATCATTTCCACCCTGCACTACCATCAGTTTGCTGGGGCCTGGGTGCCTTGTGTCTAGATTATCACAGCAGCATTCTTGTACCAAGCAGAGGATTTGTTAAAACATAAATTGCGCACAGCTCTCCTCTGCTCAAAACCCTTGATGAGCTAGGTATGGTGGTATATATCTGTAATCTCAACACGTGGGAGGCTGAGGCAAAAGGGCCTCCAGGGGTTCAAGGTCAGCCTGGGCTACATAGTGAGTTCAAGACCAACCTGAACTGCAGAGTGAGTTCTCAAAAAGCAAAACAAACAAAAAAACCCTGTTAGTTGCACCCCTCCACAGGAAAAATCAAAGTCTTCCTTGTGCCATATACCACCCTCTGCCCTCCCCTTCTGCTTGGCTTCTCTCCCTCACCCCAGCAACACTAGACCTTACACTCTTTGGCCTCTATACCAACCATGACCCACCTGAAGGTTTTCACTTTTGCTTTTCCCTCCAGTCCGACAAAACTTTTTGCTTCCCCATACACCTCCTCAGTCCTGCAGCCTCCTGCTCAAAAGCCAAATTCTCAAGATCCTTCCCTTTGCTGGTTATTCAACCCCCACCCCCACGGGTCTATCTTCTCCACAGTGCTTGCTACCAACCTCTAACCTGTGTGTGTGGGTTACTGTCAACTTCCTCTCTAGAATGTGAGCTCCAGGAGACAAAGGCTTAGACACATTCACTGTTCAAGCCCCACTGCATGTGGCCCAGTGCTGACAGATGCTCAGCAGACAGCACTGAGCTCTCTGGGTAGCTCTTCAGTTCTCCAGGGAAACAGCACCTCTCCCAGGATTTGTAGAAGTGGTCACTCTGAAATGGCTGGTGCAGCCACTGTTTCATACTTACTTTTTTATTGCTGGTACCGGGGATCGAACTCATGACCTCATGCTTGCTAGGAAGGTACTTGTGCCACTGAGCTAATGTTGTACTAAAATGCTAAAAAACTAAAATGCAAAGTTAAAAAGATTGACTGGGGCTGGGGATTTAGCTCAGCAGCATAAGTGCCTGCCTGGCAAGTGCGAGGTCGTGAGTTCAATCCCCGGTACTGCCAAAAAAAAAAGATTAAATGGAGCACCAACCATAAAAAAAGATTAAATGGAGCACCAACCATGCAGTTGGGGCACAAAGGCCTTCTGCATTCTTGCTCACTTCACATCACTCCTTACTTTGCAGTTTATTCTAACCCAGTTGCACAGCTTTGCAAACTCCACCTGCACTGTGCTGCTGGTGCCAGCTTAAATAAAAGCATTCTTCTTTTTAAAATAAGACGTCTTTTTCTTGAATAACATCTTGGGGCCTTGTTTTTTGGGGGGTACAACAACTAAATCTAAATCCCCAGTCTATTTTATTTTATTATTTTATTTTTATTTATCTCTTTTCTTCTGAAGTGTGGGCTGGCAGGAAAGGAACCTGGAAGCAGGTTGGGCCCTTAACCTTGTAGAAGTCTCTCCCTTCTCCCAGTCCTGGTTCCTTCATCTGTACAATGCAGAGGGCCTTTCTGCCTGCTTTCATCCACTCTCTATCCTGGGACTGGAACTGGTCCTCAGGACACAGAAACTGTGGCCTCTGACCATACATCTATCATTCCAGCTCTTGGGATGCTGAGGCAGGTGGATCACTCCTAGTTTGAGGCCAGCCTAGGCTACAGAGTCAGTTCAAGGCCAGCCTGAACTACATGGCAAGACCTTGTCTCAAAAACAAACAAACGAGCAAACTGTAGCCCCAGCCATGAACCATGGACACAAACAATTGCCTAACCCTGTGGGCCAGGAAACTATTACCTCTCAGCCAAAGTGAAGTCTCCATCCTTCAAGGCTGGTACCTTCCTCAGGGAGTTGACCTGAGCAAAGGAATCAGTGTAGTGCTGGCCTGTAGGAAGAATCAGTCAAGTGAACAGGGAGGAGAACCCCAAACCTTCTGAGGGCTCCCAAAATTTCAGGCTCTAGCCTTCTGAGGGGACCCTAAGAAAGAGGAGGCCACTGTGCCTTGAAGCCTGGGTCAAGGAGAATCTCAGTTTGGACTCGTGGCCAGGGTGACACTGCTAGCCCTAGCCAGTTCCAGTCTTCGTTAATCATCTCTTACATTTTTTTTTCCTTTTTCTCTTTTTATCAGTACTGGGGATCAAACTCATGACCACCTGCTTGCAAGGCAGGTGCTTATGCCGCTGAGCAAAATCCCCAGCCCTGGTTAGTCATCTCTTTGGGCTGCAGGTTTGCCCCCTCTTATTCAGCTTCCTATCCCTGGTGGGGACACAGGTCCTTCTGACCAGGCCAGCTGAGCCCCACTCACCTTATTCCCAGCTCTCAGTCCACCCTTGCTTTTGCCAGGAACACCTGTCCCATTCAGCCACCCAGCCTCCCAGCAGCTCAATACTTCCTCCTTCCACGGCCAAATCCTCCAATCTTCCTCCTTATTGGAGTTCCCAGGTCTGACTCACTTCCAGCCCCGACCAGCTTGGAGAGGAACTCATACCCAGTTAATTCACATGGAGTCAGAAGTCTCGGTGGAGCCAAGGTTCAGCCTGACCAGAGGGCTACGCATGGCTTAGACTAAACGGCCACCATCAGTCCTGCCAGTTCTCCCTCCAGAAACTGCCTGTGTCCAGCCCCTGTCCCATAGCAGGAGACCCAAGTCAACAGTATCAAAGGCAGCAAGAGAGGGGGAGAGGATTTGGCTGAGCAGTGGCCTCTGGCTTGTTGCCTGTCCTGCTGTCCAGTCACCGGATGTGCCTCCTCCTCCTCTGGATTCTGCTCCAGCTGTCTTTTGCAGATCAAGCACACCACAGTAGCTCGGGTAGGGGGGCTGGCCTCCCCAACTGCCCTGACAGAGCTCTCCAGAGTCCAGACCAAAGAACAAATCACTAGCTAGAAAAGGAAGTCTAAAAATGCAAAGAAAAGGGCTAGGGCTTTAGCTCAGCGGCATAAGCGCCTGCCTTGCAAGCAGGCGGTCGTGAGTTCGATCCCTGGGAGCGATTAAAAAAAAAATAATAAGGAAGACATAAAAATGCAAGCAGGGGTGCTGAGAAGGGTGGGGGGAGTGTCTCTTTGGTGAAGATGTAGAAACAACTGTGATAAGGACATGAGGGGGCAGTTTAATTTTTTTCTCCAACAGGGGAGGGCGATATTCTGGCCCTCTATACTTCTTGCCTCACTCTCTGGGTTCTCTGTTGTTCCTTTTATCCAGTGTTTTGAAGAACGCTTTATATTCACTAGGTGAGGACTTGTGTTCTTTAAAAACACAACTGGGAACCGATGCAACTGGTTCCTGCCTTTCCACACACCAGGGCTGACCACGAAGCAGCGGGCGCCGAGGGACTGAGGTCCTCCTGCACCCCAGAGCCCAGCCACCCCAGCCCACCTGCCAGCCCACCTTTAAGCAGCTCCACCGTGCGCAGCTGGAAGGGGATGCCGTTCTTCTTGGCAAAGATGTAGACGGCGCGGCAGGGCTGGGACAGGAGGTCCAGATACAGCTCCAGGCCCATGGTGAGGCTGGCGGACAGACTTAGAGGCTGAGTCGACGACAAAAAACAGCGGACTGGAACACAGGGGCGGAGCCAATGCTATACACAGCCAGAAGACCTGGCTTTACGACCACGCCCTCCTTGCCCATTGGTTGGTTCCGGAGAACTTTAGACCAATCGTGCTCTCTCATCCTCCCTCTTGCAGAACCCGAGTAGCTGGCGTCTCTCCAGGGTACAAATAAACCACCTTAGAGGGGTGCGGAGGGTGAGGGGGAAAGGGGGAGGGGTGCGCCAAGTCATGCGTCTTTCCGGGGTCTCAATGCTCACCATTATCAAGAGTGGCAAGGAGAGCTGTAAGAGGAACGAGACTTCCGGGATGCTTCCTGTACAAACTCAGTGAATTTAAGGTGGAAAGACCCTTGGGCTGTCTGCAGTCACCCCCAAGTCCTCTCTCTCTCACCTGGGAGAGAGCTGAGAGAGGAGTGGTGCGGAGTTCCCCTGAACAAAGGGAGAAAAGAGATCACACCACCTCTTCATGCCGTCCTGGGCACGGTTCCCAGGATGAAGACTGGGGAGGACGTTTGGTTTCGTGCTGTTTGTAGAGGTGAGGCCCACACCCAGAGAAGGAATTAGCCCTCTCTTTCAGAACCTTAGGGTCATATTCAGTACACTCCAGCTAATCCCTGCCTCAAAGACTAAGCAGCTCTTTAGTCTCATTCAGGGGACTGCAGGGGTTCCTGGGATTGGAGAAAACCTCCCCACCAACTTTGCAAGGCCAAGTCCTGCCAACTGCAGCTCTGAAGTGCCTGAGATTTGTGGCTATGTCATTCCTGTTTCCTTAGAAAGCCCCACCCCCAAACCCAAGCCTCATGAAACACCCCTTGGAACGACTATAGGTAATTTAGGTAATTGGGAATGGGATAAGAGCTTTGTCTTCCGGGTTGTGAGATTTCTTTTAAGGAAGACCTATCTCCAGGGTCAGTAGAGTGCAACCCACTCCAGGCTGAGAGGAGCCACATTCTCCACTCCCTGTCCCTCCCCTATTGTTGCCAGTTCTCCGAAAGTGACCTCTGGCCCTGCTTATTGGTATGTCTGATCTCCCTGCTGCCTTCCAGACCATACCAGCATCCAGATCACTCTGTGATGAAATTTCAGCCCTTTTTTAGAGTTAACACACAGCCAAGTGCCTAGGAATGTCATTTATGCCCCTGCATCACTGAGCCTTGACCAGGAGACCCGCTATTTGGATTTCTCTCCTGACCAATTCCTCAGGACATACACAGGGCCATGACCTGGGGAACTGGCCCGGGCATGCCTATAGCCAACATAGGAGGTGCTGCTGACCCCTGGGCTATCTGATGAATCATCCACCAAGAACCAGAAGACTACAGCTTATTTGTGTAGTTTACCATCAAGGTGAGGGTAGAGCTGGCTCTCAGGACCGGAAGGGGGATTGGGTAATGTCTTTGGGATAAAGACCAAAACCAGGGCCAGTAACACAAGAAGGTCAAATAAATCACACAGTAGAGTTGAAAGCTGAGGCTCAGACAGAGCCTAGATTTATTATGTTAACTTAAACAATGCAGCGATTAAAGTCTTGGATTTGTGTCATTGGTGATTTTCAGGCTGCTGTGGAAGTGAGAGTGGGAATTGACCTCTGGCTTGGAGGGCCACAGTGTGGTACTTCTAGGGCAAGCCTCTCCTGCTTTCTGGGCCTGCTTCTTATGAGTCAGTGGACACAAAGGTGCTTTGTGAACTGTCAAGGGTAGTGTAGAGGTGAGACTTCCAAGCTCACCGGATCATAGCCAGCACCCCAGGCATCAGCTTCTGCTTTACAGTGGGGTCAGCAGGTGGAGTGTCCTTCACCTTCAGGATGACTTCATGGGCCTCTCGGAAGAGGTCCTCCCCTACTGCAGCTTCCACTCGCCGGTACCATGCAGCCAGCTTGGGTCGGCCTTCAAAAACTTGGCAGCCAGCCCCCACAGGCTATAGAGTGAAAGAGACGGAATGAGGATGGATAAGTGAAGCCAAGGATTAATCTCATCTACCTGGTTTGAGAACTTGAGCACTCAGGAGGAGTGTCACACATAAGCACAGCTCCACAGCCAGGTGGGGCAGCATAAATAGGACTTCAGCAACTGGCCAGCTCCTCCACCCATATAGTGTGCCCAGCTGGCACCCAACACTTACATGCATCAGCTCCGTGATGGCTACCAGGTCAGCCAGGGAGATCTGAGGCCCAACAAGGAAAGCTTTGTCCTGGAGGAACTTGTCCTCGAGTACCTGCAGGGTCACATCCAACTCTGCCAAGGTGGCTGCCAACAGCTCAGAAGATATTTGCTCACCCATGACAACAGGCAGCATCACCTGACAGGTGGGCAGGCAGAATGGGGAGTTAGAGGCCAGCCCTCCCTTCATCGCAGGAGGCAATCCCCCAACACTGGAGCTGCCTTTGGGTCTGTGCATTGTATCTTTTGTCCATGGAACAGCGAGGCCTATGTGGAAATCTCTAAGAGACGCTTTTTCCCAGAATACTTCTGCTTTCCTGATCTCTAATTATCTGAGCCTCTGGGGCATCAGAAAGAATGACACTAATCTCTTTGAAGTCAGCAAACATTATAGAACATTAAAAAAAAACAACTACAAACTGTCCAATATAGTAGCCACAGCCACAAATAGCTACAGAACTCTTTAAATGTTGCTGGTTCTAAGATGTGCAGTATATATAAAATACATACCAAATTTTGAGGCTATAATACCAAAAGAATATGATTTTTCTATTGATTACATGTTTAAGTGATAATTTTTTTATTTTAACTGTGGTAAAATACAACATAAAATATATCACATTAGCCATTTAAAATCTTTTAAATTATGGTGAAAAAAAATCATAACATTTTTGAGTATATAGTTTAGTAGTGAACCATTTTTAAGCATGTAGCCAATATAGAAAGAAACTCAGAAATAGGTTCTCCAGAATAAATTATTTAATAGCAGAAATTATAGATTAAAGAATGGAATTTATGACAAGTCATAGGTAGATCTGGGAGACAGAGGAAAAGTGGAATTGCTATTGTTTGGATCTTGTTTTTTATTTTGGTTTTAGTTTTGGTTTTGAGATGAATCTCACTGTATAATGCAGGCTGGCCTTAAACTCACAGTGATCCTCCTATCTCAGCTTCCCAAATAGTGGAATAACAGGCATCCACTACCATGCCAGGCATCTATAGGTTGTATCTTAAATGTCCTCCAAAAGATATGTTATAAGCTTGGTTTCCAGTGTGGTGCTATGGGGAGGATGCTGAGCCTTCAGAAGGTGGAGACTAGTGGGAGGTCTTATTGCCCTTAAAGAGGATTGTTGGGCCTCAGTCTTTCACTATCCTTTTTTGCTTCCTGGCCATGATGTGAGCAGCTTTGCTGTGCAAAACACTCTCACCAGGATGCACTGCCTTACCACAGGCCCAAAGTAATGCTCTGAAGGATCAAGGACTGGAACATCCCAAACTGTGAGCCAAAATAAATCTTTTCATTTTATAAATTGATTGAGTCACCAGGTGTGGTGGCGCACACCTGTAATCCCAGCACTTGGGAGGCTGAGGCAAGGGAATTCAAGTTCAAGACCAGCCTGGGCTACACGGTGAGCTCAAGGTCAGCCTGAACTACATAGCAAGACTCTTGTCTCAAAAAGACAAAAAAGAAAGAATGACAGACTCAGGTTTTGGGTTTTTTTACAGTGACAGAAAGCTGACAAGCACAGGAATCTTTAAAGAGAGCTCAACTTGAATACTGAAATTTTAAGGAAGTTCTTGCTATAAGTTTTGTTACCAAGCCACATTTAGGATAAGTCCTGTTATGGGCATGTATGCATAAACCTTCTTTTTTTCATGGCCTTCCTTAGCTCTATTTTTGTTAGAGTTTGACATAAATGACACCATTTTCATACTGGCAACTTTCAATGTGTATTTCAGAGTGTACAGTTTAGTACACATAGTTTAAGTACATTCATGTTGTTGTGCAACTATCACTAGCATCCTTATAGAACTCTTCTCATCTTGTAAAACTGAATCTTTGAAAAAAAAAAAAAAAACTGAATCTTTGTACTTATTAAATGGTAATTCCTCACTAACCCCTTTGTAGAGTAAAAAAAATGCACTGCATACAGCTAACTTGTCACACCTCAGCAACGAAATACACTAGAGATATGGCTCGCTGCCACTGCCCAGGACTTTGAGAGAATATCATATGACATATTATTAGCCATGGAAAAGATCAAAATTCAAATATGGCCTCTACTGAATATGTATTGCTTTCACACCATCATAAAATTGAAAAAGTATTAAGTTCAATATTCATTAAGTCAGGAATCATCTATATTTTAAACCAGAGATGTACCAAAACTAACTAAAACCACATCCCAGCCCATCTTTTGATTAACTGGAAGAGATCAGCCTTACACCCTGGGTGCATGGTGAAAGACTATGCAAGCCGTTTCTGGTGATTGTTGTACTAAAATGCTAAAAAACTAAAATGCAAAGTTAAAAAGATAGTTATTAGCAAAAATAGTTAAAAAGATAGCTATTAGCAGAATTGTCATTCTGTGCTACGCTTATTACCCTAGTAAACATGTAATTAAAGCACCGACCACATAAGTATAGATTAACTGACTGCATCGTCCTCATGCTGTTCTGTATGTGTAGTCTCCCCAGTAACCTTTTTGCTGTGTCAACCTTTGTTCTCCTTGTAAGAGACAAATGGTGCTGTGTCAACCATTGCTTCCTTTATGAGAGACAAATGTTCCTGGAATTGGCAGACCAAGGGCTATGAGTTGGCTAACCACCCACTGTGAAATGCCTCTTACCTCAAGCAAAGGGGAACAAAGGCCCACCTTGTTTCTGTTTCTCATTGCTATGTACTTAGTGGTCAATGAGCTAATCGTAAATTCGCTATAAAAATCTGTCAAAATTCTAAGCCAGTTGCACAGCTTTGCAAACTCCATCTGCACTGTGCTGCTGGTACCACCTTAAACAAAAGCGCTTCTTTTTAAAAGACATCTTGCCCCCTTCTTGACAACAGACAACATCACGGGGCTTGTTTTGGAGGTACAACAGTGATATTTATTGTATACTTCAGTCTCTACTCTTATATCTGGCATACAAAAAGAACTTATGAAACATGTAAAGAAGCAGGAAAATGGGGCTGAGGATTTAGCTCAGCGGCATAAGCGCCTGCCTTGCAAGCAGGCAGTCGGTACCGATAAAAAGGAAAAAGACAAAAAAAAAAAAAAAAAAGCCGGAAAATGTAAGCCCTAATCAAGAGGGGGGAAAAAAACAATAAGTAGAAGCAGACCCACAGAGGGCTCAAGTCTTGAAATTAGCTGCAAAGACCTTTAAGTAACAATAATAAATGTTTACATTTTCTGAAAAAGAAAAGATAAACAAAGTGGGTGAACAGTGATGACAGAAATGCTACAAAAATAATCAAAGGGAAATTTTAGAAAGGAAAAGTACCTATCTGATACAAAGAATGGACTAGATGGGCTTAACAGCATTCCAAACACAACAGAATCATCAGTAAGGTTAAAGACAGGAGAATGGAAAAGATCCAATCTGCAAAGATTCAGTGTTGCCTGAGCCTTTGGGGGTGATGTCCTTATCAGCCCTCCCCAGCCCTTCCAGCCTCACCTTATGCCACAGGGCCCGGAGGCAGTTTCTCCTCAGGGCAGTGTGCTGCCATGCCAGGTACTCATCCACACGGGCACGGGCCTGCAGGTCCTGAGGGTACCAGTAGTCAGGGACCTTATACTTGTGAAACAGGTAGAGTAGGATGGCCACGCTGCGGAAGGGTGGAGCATAGTGGGTGGGAGAGGGCACCAGACTAGGGAGCTGGTTATACCCTGTATCTTCCTTGATTTTTCGGACAATCTGCCATGGTATGAATCCCATTGTCCAGAAAAGCAGATTTAGAAGGATGAAGGAGCTGGACTGTGGTGGTGTGTGCCTGTAATGCTAGCACTCTGGGAGACTGAGGCAGGAGGACTGCAAATTCAAGCCCAGGCTGGGCAATTTGATGACTTAGATATGATCTCAGAAAAAAAAAAAATAATGAGCCAGGGATTTAGCTCAGTGGCATAAGCGCCTGCCAGGCAAGCACAAGGTTTTTAGCTCGATCCCCAGTACCTCCCCCTCAAAAATAAATAAATAAAATAAAAAAGAGCTGAGAATGTAGGTCTGTGTCAAGGCCCTAGGTTCAATCTCCAGTGAAAGAGAGAGAAGGAAGGAGAAAGAAAGAGGAAGGGAGAGGAGTAGTGGGGAGAGAAAAGAAATAAAGGGAGGGAAAGGAAAGGAATGGAACGGAAAGAAAAGAAAAGAAAAGAAAAGGCAAAGGGACTTATTCCAGGGCATTGGGTCCTTATTAGAAGAACTCAGTCTTTCTTAGGATAATAACCAAACTGGTCCTGCCATCATATAAAATCCTCCAACAGGTGTGGTGGTGCACACCTGTAATCTCAGCACTCAAAAGACTGAGGCAGGATCCCCACAAATTCAAGGCCAGCCTGGGCTACACAGTGAGTTCAAGGCCAGCCTGAACTACGTATAGTGGCCCTGTCTCAAAAGAGAAAAAAAGTGGGGCTGGGGGTTTAGCTCAGCGGCATAAGCGCGTGCCTTGCAAGCAGGCAGTCGTGAGTTCGATCCCTGGTACTGATAAAAAAGGAAAAAGACAAAAAAAAAAGAATAGTGCTTACATGTTCAGAGGTGATTTCTGATCAGAGGAGCTACCTGGAGGAGGTGGTGATGAGTATCCCTGGGCAAAATGTGGGGCCAGGGAGCTTCCTGGAGGAGGTGGCATCCAAGCTAAGCCTTGCACAGGCTCTGTTCTTTCCAGCCCATATCCATTCTCACCCTTTAGCATCCAGACTAGCCTCAGAAGGCCAGGTTGTTCAGAAAAGTTTTTTCATCATCTCTTTGTTTTTCACAGCACTCTTTCTGCTAAAAATCAGCTCTGTTCAAAGCGATGAGCTAGCTCAGCACCCTAAGACCTTATGCAGTAAACAGCCAGGATACAGAAGGATCTTGGAACATCAGAGCAGCCAAGGTTCCCTAGTGTCGTTTCCTTGCCCTGGGTTATGAGGGCTGTTAGGATGTAGAGCTGCAGATGGGCCTTCAAGAACACAAAGGATGTATCAATTGGGGCCACAGGAAAGCTTTCAGGAACTCAGGGTTTCTCAAGGGTTGGCTGCCCCAGCCAAAAGGGCAGAAAAGCTCTGTTTCTGTCACCAGTCCAGGTCCCTAACTAAGAAGCCTGCACCTACACCCCAGCTTAATGCCCCGTTGTCCATCTTTTTTTTTTTGTTCAAGCCACTTGAGAAGGGCTGCATAAGCCACAGACTTTTTGAGGGTGACAGAAGAGAAATGCAGGGGTTATGCATTCCCCCTGGGCTGGCACCTGTGGGTTCACAACGTGGGGAAGACAAGGGACTCAGGATACCAGGAGGTACCAGTAAGGAAGAATGGGCATTGCCACATGTCACAGGAATTCACTGGGATGCACCCATCGCTGGATTTGAGACGTGGACTCTAGAGCATAAAGTCTAGGTTCTCCTTGGTATGGGATGGGTAAGTCAGCTGTCACAAAGGGCAGAACTGGAAAAAGGCTTGACCCTCCATGAAGAGGGATCTGCTGTAATAGAAAACATCCCTATATCTGGTGACTCTGTAATAGGGGAGAACCAGCTAGGAAAGCCTGAGGTGGCCCCAGGGATGGGGACCCTAGGTAGCCCAGATACCACTGGGCCATCTGGACACAACCTGGGCCAGAGAGCTGGCCCTATGGTAAGTGAAGCTACCACCCTTCTCTGTCCTGCTCCCTGGCCCCACACCCTTGCCCAGGGACACTCATCAGCAACTGAAGGTCAGGAACAGAGATGACATAGATTCCTGATTTTTCCAGCCATCCCATTGAATTAGAAGAGTGGACAGGTCAAGGTCAGCCCCAGGTCTCTGTGGCACCCTCTGTCTCTGAGGACTTCAGTTTCCTAGTCTGGCTCAGGGTAGCTCCAGCAGGTATAGCAGCAGTCCTAAGGGGGCCCGTTACCTCTCAGACAAGGTGAAATCCCCATCCTTCAAAGCTGGCACCTTCTTCAGGGGGTTCACCTGGGCAAAGGCATCACTGAGGTGCTGGCCTGTGGAGAAGCCAGCATGAGAAGGTGGGACTGGATCACTGAACCCTCCAGGCTACCTGAGCCCACTCCCTGCAATGTCCGGGCCCCAGCTTCTTGGTTCCTCTGCCCTTTAGGATGCTATCCTGAATGGAAAAGATTGCTGGGTAAATGCTGGGTAAAAGGGAGAGGCCGCTCTGGCAGCTGGTACAAAATAGACTCCATAGCCTTGCACAAGTCCTCATGGGCACCACCCCCCCCACAGACCAGCTCCCTACCACAGGGCTCAGTGCACAGGCGCAGTGCTGGGGCCCGCACACACCCATCGCCACCTCTCTTCTCACTGCTGCAAGCTTCAGGAGCTCCCACCCTCAAGGGGAGGCCCTCTGGGTACAGTACCCCTCCCTCTATGAACAAACAGAGGGGTGGCCTCGTCCTGATTTTATTTACTCAGCACCACCTTCTGCTGGCCCTCTGTGTCCCCTTGCTCCTCCTGCTCTGGGGGCTTCAAAGCCTTCCCTGCTTTCAGGCTCTGCTAAAACCGGCAGAGTCTCATTTCTTGTCCACCTGTAACTCCTGACAGGTGCAGTCCAGTGTCCCCTGAGACTGTGGTGTCTGCTTCAGCTTGTCTGCATCATTTCTGTTCCTGAAGATGCAGCCTAACAAATTTTTCAGGAAACCCAAGTGCCAGTGACACTCAGTGGTCCCAGTTACTCTTGGAGCAGGCGAAAGCTCTTCAATTCATAGTCTCAGGAATACCCTCCTTTTACCCTCCTTCACCAGGGATACTCTCCTTTTCTTTCCTAGCGAAACACACATCTCTCTACACCCTTGTACTAACAGCCAACTCGGAGATCTGCTCATCCCTTATGCTCTCTGTCCTGCCCTGTGCTCCACAGAGCCAGCACCCCTGCTCAGCAAGAAAATGCTCCAGAGAGGAGGCTGAGAGGAGGTAAGGTTTCAGGCAGGGAGACCAACAGTCAACAGGATAGTACAAGTGCTTAGCCAAGCAGTGACCTAGTGTGGACACCCTGCAGCATCTGTGTTCTGATGCCCTCCCCTTCTAGCACCCTGTCCCCGCCGGGCCTGAACCTTGGCCTGTCAGGTGTATCCTTGAGGTTCTCGGAGGTCTGCCAGAGAAACAAACACCGGGCCCAGGGTGCAGGGTTCATCATGGGGTGGGGAGAGAGTGCTGTTCCTGACAGGAGAGTCAGGTAAGGTAAGGACAGGTAAGTAAGGCACAACAAGAGGAAAGGGCTGAGTGTAGTAGTGCTGTAATCCCAGCACTTGGGAGAGGAGGCTGAGGATCGCCAAGAGTTCCGGGCCAGCCTAAGCTACATAGTGAGTCCAAAGCCAATACACAGCAAGAACCTATCTCAGGAAAAAAAAAAAAAAAAAAAAGGCTGAGTATGCAGTCCAGTGTGAAAGATCCAAGTCAGTTCCCACTACCGATAAATAAATAAATGAATAAATGCAAGCTGGGCGTGGTGGCGCACACCTGCAATCCCAGCACTCGGGAGGCTAAGGCATGAGGAGCCCTGCAAGTCTGAGGGCCACATGGTGAGTTCAAGGCTTGGACTACAGAGTGAGACTCTGTCTCAAAAAAAAAAAAAATTAATCAGTCCAGGCAGAGCAGAGGGCAAAGCTGGAAAGGCAGGTCCCCAGCGCAATGCCTCCTCTTCACAGCACTGAGGGTCACCGAGGAGGGCCTTGATTTTGTCCCAGCCCGCACATTTTGTCCCCTCACCCCTCCAGATCCCATCTCTTCTCTGGGGAGCCTGTTCCACGGGTTTCTGTTCACCAGGTCTTTGCTCTCTTCACGCTACTTGGCCAGGTATCCGGCGTCAGCAGAGCCCCTAGTGTTCACTCTGGGTACTGCAGAACAGGCTTGGACCTTCCCAGTGGCTCACTTTCTCCTGGTCTCCAAACCCGACCGGGGACCGCCCCTGGAAGGGGCAGGCAACGAGCAGCCACTACACGGCCGGCCGCCCTCCGCCCTTCCCCGCCTCTCGGTTCCCAAACCTGAGGCCCGGCCCACCCTTGAGAAGCTCCACAGTGCGCAGCTGGAAGGGGATGCCGTTTTTCTTGGCGAAGATGTAGATGGCGCGGCAGGGCTGGGACAGGAGGTCCAGGTAGAGCTCCAGGCCCATGGCGGAGGCGGCGGGACGAGATACGCAACTTTAGCGTCAAAGCAAAATCTCCAAAGCAGTGTCTCCAGACCTCCGGCGCGGCCACGCCCCGGACACCGCCCCCTGGGTGCTTTGCTGTAATTGGTGGCAGCCAGAGGGCGTGTCCTTAGGGGGTTGGGCTCCGGGGTCAGAGCCCAGCTGGCTGGGCAGTGGACCACTGCCGCTGCAGGGCAAAGGGAGGTGCAAAGGCGCCCCTGTCCCAATCTCCCTGTGATTGGCTTGACTTAGCGTACTGTCTTCCAGGGACAGATCTCTTCTGGCCCAATGTCAGAATTTTCTGTCGTCGTTTCACAGATAAGGAAACTGAAGAGCTGTGTGCTGATGGATCCAGAAAGTTTAGCTCCAGACTCCATCCGCACAGATCAACACGCCTGAGGTCTTGCTGCCACCAAGTAGCAAAACTTTAGGGCTTGTGTGGAGCATTTGTGCTCGCTCGCTGCGCTCCCAGTGCACGCCCTGGAATTTGACAGCTTTGTTCATCCAACTCCTGCCAGCCAGCCCAGCCACATTCCCTGATTGTCTTGTGCGTTCTGTACTGCTATAACAAAATGCCTTGGACTGAATGATTTGCAAATAGTAGAAATGTATTGCTGAGTCTTGGAGGCTGGGAAATCCAAGATTGGGGTTCCTTCCAGAAGGTTGCTTGTCTGGTGAAGGCTTGCTGTCCTCCGCTTCAAAGATAATAGCAGGCCAAAGGTGCAAGAGGGCTCCTTTGATTAAAGCCCAGTTTACTGAGCTACATCCCCAGCCCTTTCATTCCTTTTTTGAGACAGGATCTTGCTAAATCCGAAAGTTGCCAGGCTGAGTTTGAATTTCCAGTCTTCAGGCCTCAGTCTCCCACATACTGGGATTATGGGATATACCACCACACCCTGCTTATTTTATGAGGGCAATAGTTCAATCCATGAAGAGAGAGCCCTCATCACTCCTCGAAACCCCTCTAATATGTTTAAGTTGCAAAATAAGAGGACAGCAACATTCAACCCTTAGCACTAAATCTGTTTCTTTCTTTCTCGTGGCCTCCATTTCTGCACCTTTAGAATAATGAGGAGGGTAAAGGCCCAGCCCAGCCTTGAGCAGCTCCATGGGGTGCAGCTGGAAGGGACAGTGTTTTCTTGGTGAAGATGTAGATGGCGCAGCAGGGCTGGGATAGCAGGGCTGGGACAGCAGGTCCAGGTGGAGCTCCAGGCCCATGCCACTCTATGATCTTAGGTTCACTTGCTGAGCCTCAAATCCTGGGCCTGCCCTTGCCACGCAGGGACCCCTAGGCAAATGTTACCGTTGTCACCTGTTAACTTCTGAAACAAATTAACTGAAAAGATATTGTCAGACCATAACAAGTTCTGCACAGTAAAAGACATTTCTGCAAGGAAAGTGAAGGCTGGTAATAGTGATTGCCACAAGTTAGACCAGTGCTTTACCAGGAGTTACACCCCCACATCCCCTTTTTTGAGACAGAGCTATTTTGAGATCTGGACTATGTTGCCCAGGCTGCTCCTGTAGTTTGGATGTTCCTGTCTCAGCCTTCCACGTATTTGACCTTACAGGTATGCATCACTAGGCTCATCTGTGGTAATGATAGTTAAGTGAAAAAAGTTTAAGATGGGAAACTCAGACTTCCATGTTGAAGTTTTAAAAGGAACTAATGGGTGTGGTGGTTTCAGGAGGCTGAGGCAGGAGGATCACTGTATGTTCAAGGCCAGCCTGGGCTACTAAGTGCACTTAAGGCCAGCCTGAACTACATAGTGAAACTCTATCAAAAAAAACAAAAAAAAAAATTGTAAAAGGAGCTAGACACTCAGCAGAGGCAAGAGTTTGCTCATCCTCATCTCTCAGTGATTCCAGTCAGTGTCCCAGGGGGGAGCTTTCAGGATCCTGGTCCAAGGGTGAGCCAGCTCTTAAAATCTAATTTGGAGCCAGAGTGTGGTGATACACCTGTAATTCCAGCACTCAGGAGGCTGTGGCAGATGGATCACCTCGAGTTCCAGGCCAGCCTAGACTACATAGTGAGGTTAAAGCCCACCTGAACTAAATAGCAAGGCCCTGTCTCAAAAAACAAAACAAACAAAACCACCTAATGTGATCCAAAGTCTAGGATCAGACATGTTCTTTTGTGTTTTTTTTCTCACTGAAACAAAAAACCCAAAGTTAGAAGAGGAAAGGTTTATTTTAGTTCATAGTTTGTAGAGGTTTCGTCCATGGTTGGTTGGCACCAAGGCAGGGTGGCATGGCAGAGGGGCATCACAGAAGAGAAACAATTCATGGCAAAGCAGGGCAGGCAGAATACAGCTTGCAGTAAGCAGCAGCAGCGGAATAAGCCTCTGGCGTGTCTTGCCTGTCTCACTTTATATTCCATCCAAACTGTAAACCTATTGACTGGTGCCAGCCACACCTAGGGTGGGGCACCCTTAATCCCAGAATCATACCTTAATGCCAGTATCACACCCTGGTCCATATTCACACACTAATCCAGCCACCTTCAAAATTTCTCACCTATGACTGACTGAGGCTTTAGGAGGACACCTAGGTACCAGACATAATAAGATAGCCTTGATGGTTTAGAAAAAGTGACCATGTTTGTGGGGGAGAGTCTACAGCCAGCATCAGGCATGTGGCTGGGACAGTTATGGTTGATACACTGTGTCAGTGTGAGCAGTTTAGAAGTTTAACTAAGAGACTCAGCAGGGAGCAGGGTTCTTACTTTGCAAATATCCTCATCCTGTGCAAGGGAGGGCAAGGAGTGTTGTAGCACCTTGCTATTCTGTGAGTGCTACAACAGTCCTGGGAGGGTGGAGGGGTGGCCTGTGTACGGTACAAGCCAGGAGAAGAGGTTTGTTTTACTCCCATTTGCTCCGGCTGCTGCCTTGAAATGTTGCCCCAATGCGATGCCACCCGGCCTTGGAGCCAGCTGATTATGGGCTGAAACCTCCACAACAGTAAGGTGAATAAACTTTCCCTTCCTTCCTTCTGGGTGTCAGGTATTTTGTCCCAGCAAGGAGCAAAAAGTAACCAAGACAGGGACCTTCAGTCCTACAACCACAAGGAAGTGAATTCTGTCAAAATTCTGAGCAAGTCTGGGAGGGAGCCTTCATCTGGCAGCTTCTTCCAACCTCATAAATTTTGGAGTAGGGTGAAGAAGAATATTAGTTTTAAGATTGAGCCCTGAGCCCTGGCTGATTGCCTGGATTGCAGCTGGAAGGCTGAGGCAGAAAGATCACAAGTTCCAGCCCTGCCTGGTTCATGTAGTGAGACCACTCTCAAAAAAAGGAGTGGTAGCTCACACCTGTAGTCCTAGCAATCAGGAGGCTGAGGCAGGAGGATTGCCAAGAGTTTAAGACCAGCCTGGGCCAATGGTAGAGTAATTGTCAACTAAGTTCAAAGCCTGCCGGAACTACATAGTGAGACCTTGTCTCAAAAAGGGGTGGGGAGTAGCTCAGTGTGAAAGCCCTGGGTTTAATCCCAGTACAAAAAGAAAAGAAAAGAAAGAGCAAGCCAGAACCTGGTCCCAGCCAATCTCTAGGGCTTCTGGTTTTTCCGTGTGATCTTTCCTATTGCACGTGTTCTGTCCTCTTATCATCTACAATTGGACCCTCACAGGACACCAAACCAATGAGAATACTTGATCTTGGATTGTCACCCTCCAAAAGTTCCTTTATTTTCTTCAAATGCTGAGTAATTTTCTTATTAAAAGGTGATATTCAGAAGAATTCTTTTGTCTCTCTCCGTGTGTGTGTGTGTGTGTGTGTGTGTGTGTGTGTGCCACTTTCTTCCTTCTTCTTCTTCTTCCTCTGTTCTCCTTTTTTTCTTTCACTTCTGGGGATTGAACCTAGGCCTTGCACATGTTAGGCAATTGCTCTATCACTGAGCTATATCCCCATCCCAATCTCCTGTCTTCTAATTGAAGGAGACCAGATCATGAGGATCAAGGTCTAGTTGACCTCTGTGAGCAGAAGAAGAGCAAGCTGTGCTTCCCTGGCAAAACTCGAGGTTCCATGGAGGAACCCTGCAGGTTCCATGCAGGTTCCAGGGAAGAGTCAACAGGCCTGAAAGCCAGTTGTTTACCTGGGGGCTTACGGAGGATAACAGGAGGCAGATGAATCTTCTGCTACCCTAATTGGTTGGTGCCAGGTCTAATGTAAATAAAAGTGAGGTGAGCCAGATGCTCAAGTCTGTTTATTCACTAGAAGCAAGAGCCCTTTGGCCTCTCTTGCAAAATTATCTTGGTGTCTTGTGTGTGACGCACATGCACACCAGTCAGGGATAAACTCATAGAATGATTCTGACATCTAATGATTCTGGATTTTGTTGGCTCTTATTTTTCTAGTTTCATAAATTATAAAGTTAGATTTTTGATTTGGGATCATTCTTTTTCAACGTGTGTATTTACAGCTATAAATTTTCTTCTTGGAGTTACTTCTATTGCATCCCACACATTTTAATATGCTGTATTTTCATTCACTTATATACTTTGGCTTGGCATGGTAGTGTACACATGTAATCGCAGCACTCGGAAGGCTGAGGCAAGAGGATCATTGCAAGTTTGAAACCAGCCTAGGCCACAAAGCGAGCTCAAGGCCAGCCTGAACTGCACAGGGAGACCTTGTCTCAAAAAAAAAAAAAAAAAAACAACTTTGTAATTTCCTTTTGTGATTTCTTCTTTCTTTGGTGACCCATTTGTTGTTTACAAGTGTGTTAATTTCTACCTATAAATTGTCTAGTTTTCTTCTGATATTAATTTCTAATCTCATTTCACTATGTTCAGTGAACACACTGTGCATGATTTCAGTCTCCTGAAATTTGACATTTGTTTTGTAGACAAATAATATATAGCCTGTGCTGGAGAATATCCCATGTGCACTTGAGAACAATTCTGCTGTTGCTGTGCAGAATGTTCAGGTAGATCCAACTGGTTTATAGTGTTGCTCCTTGATGATTTTTTATCTAGTTATTCTATTATTGAAAGGGAGTGCTGAAGTCCTCAGTTACTATCATTCACAATGTAATCATATTTAACCTTTAAGTTCTGCATTCTTTATGAAGAATGCGAGGACCTGTGACCGTCACCTGCACCTACCTCAGACTCTACTTACCCCATATATCCCCAGCTCAGCAGCCACCATGGATGTTCCAGTTCTTTATTAGATAAAAGAACAAGATTGTTTTTAGTGTCTCTCCTAAGGAAGGAGGCTCGGGGGCCTGAGTCAGCGGGGCTCTGGCGGATGAGCTGACCCTGGGTCACTTGTACATCTCCAGAAATTTGCAGATCCTCTCCTTGACCAAGGGGTCCAGTGTTGAAACATCCCACTCTTCCAACTTCAGCAGCCGGTCATGGGCCTCCCAGAAGAGGCCAGAGCCGATGTACAGCTCCACCCGCATGCGCCACTCAGCCAGCTTGGAGCTGTCTAGGAAGACATTATAATTGCCCCCCATGGGCTGCGGACAGACAAAGGGAAAACATGGTCAGCCCGGGGACAAGACCCCTTGCGTCTTCTCTGGCAGTCTCAAGGCTTTTCCTCATCTTTCTAGTCATGTAAGGCCCTGGCAAGGGGTCAGAAGATAGATGTAAAATTAGGATGGAGGGTCCATAATTCTCCTGATTCTTTGGTCATTGGTTTGTTTCTGAATTCCTGTGAAGTGATCCCTCTCTGAGGTAGTTTCCACTTCTCTAGGCTGAAACTCACATGGATCCTTTCTTTGAAGGAAACCCTCATCCCCAAGGATGGGAAGGGTACCTCAGTTCCTTTCCCCCTGTGTTGAACTTCCTTCTGTGATCAGGCACAGAGGCTGAAAGAGGAGATGCGACAGTTTGGTTGGCATTCAAAGTGCTGGGGGACTCTTGTAAAGTATAAAGGTACAGGGCTGTACACGCGGCCCTGACAATGTCAGATGCAATTTTCCTGGTACATCGCACTACACAATGAACAGGGACCAAAGTGACCACTTTGCATATCAACCCGGGACTGTGCTGGCCTCTCAAGACACTGACTGGATCTAATCTGGCCATCCCACACATACCAGCTACCCTAGAACTGGCTACCATAAAGGCCACATAAGTGCCTCACACCACAGTGTGCCTCTATGTGCACCTCGCACACCACCCTGGCCCAGAGCTTGTCTGGAGCTCTGAGGAAGAGAACACCTCTGGAGGCTCTGAACATTTCCTGAGAGTCCAGAGGAAGAGGAGAAGGCATCTTGATAGATGGATGAAGGAATGCAATGTTCTCTTTGTCCTGGTCTCACCCTCTAGCTCCTCCCCACACTGTAGAATCCTTGCCAAGAAAGGACACCTAGACCTGACTTCCGCAACCCTCATCCTGGCCCTGCCTGCCTCTCTGGCTTCACTAATGTCTCAATTTACAACCCTGCCAATGTCAGGCGCAGTCTGCCTCTGCCCAGGCTTGGTCCCCAGCCTCCCATCCCCTACCTGCATCATCTCCGTTAGGGCCACCAAGTCAGCCAGTGAGATGTGATCCCCTGTGATGAACATCCTGTCCTGCAGAAACTTCTCCTCGAACAACTGAAGGTTTTTCTTCACCTCTTCTACTACTTGGTTCATCTTTTCCTCCGAAACCTTCTCTCCTGTGATCATTGGGATCAGCAACTGGCCAGGTTGGGGAGAGAAGGGAAACAGATGCTGCACCCAGCCCCCCATGTACCCTCCAGGCTTCCGTATCTTTGTCTGCTAGATATTGGACTGTACCAAGGATGTAAAGTAGTTTCCCTTCTTTCTGCAATTCTAACTAACAATGAAGATTCCTGGGGCTATGAGTTCAAAAGGAATCTGAGGCTCCAACAAAAAGGAATCTTGTGATTGATTAGAGATATCTGTCACAAGTTGCTATGGTTTGGATATGATTCGAGTGTGTCCCTCATGAGTTCATGTGTTGGAAGCTTGGTCTCCCGTGTGGCAATGTAAGATACGGTAGAAACTTAAAATGCTGGGACTTTTGTGACGTGTGGTGGTACATGCCTGTTATCTCAATTGCTTAGGAGGCTGAGGCAGAAGAATTACAAATTCAATGCCTGGGTAACTTAGTGAGACCCTGTGTCAGTAAAAGGGGAGGGGGCTTGGGATATAGCTCAGTGGTGGAGTACCTCTGGGTACCACGGCCCTGGGAAGGGATTGAGGTAGTTTTCATGGGACACTGAGTTCATTTTCAAAAGATAAAGTTATAATCAAAGAGGGAGACTGGCACTATTTCCACTCTCTGACTTCTGTCTTACTGTGTAGCTCCTCATGTAGTTGCGCCCATTGTGCAGAGATGGCACTGTGCTGTTTGAACTTTAAGCCTCCAAACTGTGAGCTAAAGTAGTCTCTTTTCTTTATAAGTTACTCAGCCTTTTGGTGTTTTATTATAGTAATGTGAAACAGACAATGACACAGGCATAAGATTAGAAGTAGAGACATATAGTCTTTGTTTTCCGGACCTTTTGAATTAATATTCTCTAGTTCAGAATCTTGAGTCCTCTCCTGGCTTGAGTAGTATGAGCCTTTCTTGGGTGTCTTTCTCCTCGCCGAAACAAAAACTCTCTCATACTCAGTGGTTCACTCCACACCCCTAGCAGTTCTATAAGCCAGGCAGGGCAGGAGCAAAGGAAATGAGCCTCAGGAAGGGAAGAAGATGTACTTGAGCTCATCAGTGGTCAACAGAGTGAGGACTGGACTTCAGGATTCTTGTCACCTTTGTTCACTTGTCCCTGAGGCCCAGACATGGACCCGCTCACCTTGATCCAGAGTAACTTGTTCATGGGCTGCTGAATGGCCGTGTGATGCCAGGACATGAACTCATCCACACGGGCACGCGTGTGCAGGTCTGGAGGGTACCAATGAGAAGGCACGCTGTACTTGCGGCACAGGTAGAAGAGGATGGCCACGCTGCAGAAAGGATAGGTCAGGGTCACTGCCCTGCCCTGCTGAAGGCCCCAACACCAACCACGGCAGCGTGGCCTGGGCCCATCTGATCCTGGGTAGCCTCTAGCCACAGACAAGCTCTAGGTGCTGACAGGTTTCCAGGGGAGAAGAGATTCCAAAGGGCCCTGGGAAAGGCTTCCCCCACGCCGTCAGTCCCATACGCAGTGAGGGCAGGGGGACTTGAAGGGTGAGCAGAAGTCTGTGGGTGGCATCAGGAAGGACAGTCAGACCAGGGGGGCATGTGCTAAACACCAGGATAACAGAGTGAAGTGAGTTTGGAGAACAGGAGCAGGTGAGTATATCTGGAAAGATGAGGGCCAGTGGGGAATGAAGAGAGATAGCCAGAGACACTATGGAGGTCCTCAGAGGAAGAGTTGGACTTAATCCTTAGGACTGTGGGGATGGAAGATTCATCCCTCTGTACTGGATGGAGGGGACAGAATCAACATCAGGGAAGCCAAGATGGCGGCTCCAGCAATTACAAAGGGAAAAGTATTGGTGGGGGGAGGCTGCAGAGCCCCTCAGCGTCCCACAGGAGAGGCAGACTGGGGACATCATTGGGGGATGGGAATGTTTTGAGCCTAGCTGATTGATGGCTGCTACAGGAAACTCCACAGAACAAAGGACCCGGTTTCTTTATCATCCTTAGTAGGAAACATGCAAAGATATTGAAGTTGAGGAATAGAGAAAGTACTATGGTTTGGACCGCCCCACCATAACAGGGGTTGAAATTTAATCTTCATTATGAAGTATTAAGACATGGGACCACTAAGTGATTGAGTCAAGTGAATGGATTGAATCAAATCTATTTATGGGTAAGAGAATTACTAGACTAATTGGTTATCACAAGACAGGCGTTGGTGTAAAAGCAAGCTTTCTCCAGCTTGTTCTGTCTAACCATGGATCTCTGTCCATGCCAGGGCCCAGAGGCAAGGCCTTTGCCAGGTGCCAAGCAGATGCCAGCTCCACGTTCTTGGACTTTCTGGCCTCCAGAGCCATGAGCTAAATTCAACCTCTGTCCTACTATTATCCAGTGTGTAGTGTTGTTTTAGCAACCAAAAATGAACAGACAATGGGGCTGCAGGAAAAGAATAACATAACAGATAGATAAACCAGCTGCAGTACTCAAAACTGTTTCGGACTCCAATTCAACCAAACTACTAAGAAAATATTTATGAGACAGACACTTCTAATGGGAACTAGATATTTGCAGAAATCCAAGAATCATTTTTGTTGAGCAGAGAATACCGAGAACTAAATGTAGGATTTTCTCACTGGAGTATATCCCAGACTTATTTATTTATTTATATTTTGAGACAAGGTCTCTCTAAATCATTAAGTGTCCCAGGCTGGGCTTGAGTTTTTAACCCTCTTGCTTCAGCCTCCCATGATGTTGGGATTATAGGCATGCATCATCATACCTGGTTTACTGTTAATTTTGTTAGGTACTATAAGTGTATTGTGTATTGCTATTTTAAAGAGGCATGTATATTCCTAAGCATATTTGGGTATCTTAGTTACTTTTCTCTCATTGCTAAGACAAAATACTAGACATCCGAAGTTAAAGGGGAAAAGGTTTACTTAGCTCACACTTTGTAAAAGTTTAAAATCCATAGTCAGCTGGCTCCAAGGCGGGATGGCTTGGCAGTGGGGTGTCACAGAACAGACAGTTCATGATGCCCATAAGATAGAAAAAAAAACAACAAGGGACAATGTGGCTCTTTCTGCCCCATTTATCTTATCCAGGCTACTGAAGGCAGGTAGGACTCACACCCTTAATCCTAAAGCCCTTCAGCCTAGCGTTGCACCATGAATCAATCCCAGTGTCACGCACTCTAGATCCAGCCACTTCTGAAAAAGCTCCACCTATGACTGCATAAGGCTTTGGGGGTACATCTAGACACAAGCATAACAGTGAGGGAAACAATAGAGGGTTTGGCAGAAAGACCTAGGGAGGGTGCATATGATGCAAAACGGGCTCCAACTCAACAGTTGGTGGAGCTGGCAGGTGGCTGTGGGGTTTTGTTGTGCTGCTCGTTAGTTAGTAGCCATTCTCTTTTAGTACCTGTGTGAAATTTTCCACAATAAAAAGCTAAATAAATGCTAGCAGATTGGTCCCCACCAAGTCTCCCAGGAACAGCAGAGCCAGATGATGGAAGGGTCCTTACCTTTCAGATAAGACAAATTTTCCATCTCTGAGACAGGGCAACCTCCTCAGGGGGTTAATCTCGATGTATTCCCTGCTGTGGTGGTGACCTGAGAGGGGCAGGGAGACTTTGAGGCTAACGGGATCCCAGAGAAGAGAAAACCGGATTCTCAGAGACAGAAATACCTTTCTGATTTATTCTAAGAAGGTAAGACTATCTTGAGGAACAGGGTGGCTTGCCCAGGCCACAGCTCAGTAGCAGAACAGGATTTCTGATTCCTAGCCTGCTTCCATCCCACATTTGGTGACCACTGTTGCCCCAGGCCAAAAGAATGCTGTGATTCACAGCAGCTGGAGATCTGCAGCCCCCACGCCTAAGCTCTGTGGCCCGAAGTTGCACTCTGTGAATGAACTAAAATCATAGGGCCCTGGGTCCCACTCATCCCCATTCCTGCCATCCTTCCTGTGTTCCCTGCTTTTAGAGGGGGCAGCGCAGGGGTAAAACGCAATTGAAAATTTGCAGGAGAACCCTTCAAATACAATTGGGGTCATGTGACCTGAATAGAGACTTCCACAAAGAGGGAAGAAATTGTAACTCTTCCTGACCAGCAGTCTCTGAGGCAGAGCAAATTTGCAGGATTTTTTTTTCCTGGTACCAGGGATCGAACTGATGACTTCACACTTGCCACACAGGCACTTACACCACTGAGCTAAATTCCTGGCCCACGGTGGCAGGATTTTGAAGTGTTAGCCCAAGGGAAAGCAAGCAGGCAACTGCAATATTTGGTGATAAAAAGTGAAAAGTAAATCGGGTGTCAGTGAAGCAAGCAAGCCGCTTAAGACAAGAAGGCGGGATTCAGGTTGCAAGAGCAAATGGGAGGAGACTGATGCGAACATAGGTGGTGAAGGACCTGACTACAAGTGGACCTCAAACTTCATTATACCCTTTAATAGGGTAAAGTATTTCTAAGCACATTTTGGGCCATGGTTAAACTCACACCTACAGTTACTAAAACTCCATCCTTCTCCTTTGGGGAACTATAAATGATTAATGATACTCCTTTGAGACCCCATAAAAGTAAAATGTGTCTCGTTAAATTTTATTCTGTCTGTGGAGTTAACCAACTTCTCTGTCTTTTTCCTGGGGCTGCCTGTGGCACAGCAAGTTGTGTTTCTGTGGCTGTGACCCACACTAGCTGGTGATCCCCCAAGGGGAAACGTTTCTGGGGGCTCCATTCAAACTCTTTTCTGTAGCTCCCGTGTCTCCTCCTCATCTGTGTCTATAAGCTGAGATTTTAGAACCTTCCTTTCTTCCTTCCTTCCTTTCTTTCTTTCTTTCTCTCTTTCTTTCTTTTCTTTTCTTTTCTTTCTTTCTTTATCTTGACATAGGGGCTCACTGTGTAGCCCAGGCTGGCCTCAAACTCACAGCAATCCTCCTACCTCAGCCTGAGTGCTGCTGGGATTAAGACATGCACCACCATGCCAGGCTGTCTTGTTTTTCTTTTCTCAAGGTAAGATTGGGACCCAGTGCCTTCACCTTCGCGTGGGATCTGTGTAACCCTGAGCAAGTTTTATTTTGTTTTGTTTTTGCTTTTTGACACAGAGTTTCACTATGTAGTCAAAGCTGGCTTCAAACTCATAGCAATCCTCATGCCTCAACCTCCTGAATACTGAGATTACAGGCATATGCCACCATCCCCAGCCCAGTTTTCCATATAATTTGTGTGTGTGTGGTTCTCAGGATCAAACCCAGAGCCTCAAGCATGCTGGGCAAGCACTCCTACCACACACCCTCAGCCCCTGAGCAGTTTTGAATATCAGGGAATGATGGCTGCGGACCTTCTATAGTTTCACGTGCAGAATGACTGACCTTTACCAGCGTGGTCGGCAGATGCTGCACAAAACAATATGCAAGACCCACGTAAGATGATGGCAAGGGTGTCTGACCGGAAACCTGAGGGTGTCCTGGACCCTTCCTTCCTGTTTGCCTGGGAGACTTTTTATCTCAGCAGGAGGCTATCATTGGTGGGCTTGGTTAAAGTAGTTAAACAGGGTTACAACCAGGGCACCTTGCTACTTTGGCATCTTTTCTTTCTCTTCACTTTTGTAGGAATCTCCTTGGTCTATTGCCTCTGCTCCTCAGAAATGCTCCAACTTGGATGCCCTGGCTTTCCCCCTAGGACCGAGGGGGAACAGAACAGAAGTGGGGACTCACCTTTCAAGAGATCTACAAACTGGAAGTCAAAGGAGATGCTGTTCTTCCTGGCAAAGATGTAGACCGTACGGCAGGCTGCTGACAGCAGGTCCATATAGAGCTCTAGGCCCATGCTGAGATATTTCCTGGGTCTCACAGCTGTAGCAGGCCAGCCACAGACCTGAGTCTATGTCCAGCCCGAGACCCTGTCCTTGTGCCCCCTCTGACCTGACTCTGCATTCTGGAACTTTTTGTTTCCCTTCATATTGTTATGAGGCCAGAAAGCCTGGAATGCTCATAATGGGAAGAATCTGAGGAGACCCAGAAGCAGAGAGAGGATCCCGGTAAAGAGGGCTGGCTGGCAGAGAGTAGGCTCCTATGCGTGCAATTGCTCTGCAGCCCTGCCTTGCACTGTCTGAGAAGGGCTGGCTCGTGCATGGGGATTCCCGGTGCCAGGCCTTCAGTGCACAGCATAATATAAGCAGCTTTGCAAGGACGAGAGTGAGACTAAAGCAGTGAGAGCAGAAATAGGCACTGGGGGTATCTACAGGTAAATCTGGCCTAAACTATGGTTTGAAAAAGCTGGGAGGAAGAGAATGAGGATCTGGGTGCTGTGTTTGGGGTGTTGCACGTCCCTACAGGCCCATGTATTAAAGGCGTAGTCTCCAGGATAGAACTACTTTTGCTTCATGGCCAAGAAGTGAGCAGTTTGCTCTACCTCTGCTCGCGGCCACTGTCACTTGGCAGCTTCATCACAGGCTGGAAATCAATGGGTCCACCCAGGCAAGGACTGGAACTTCTAAAATTGTGAACCAAAAGAGATCTTTTCTCTTTCACCTCGGGTATTTCATTATAGTGGAAGAAAACTAACACGTGGGAAGAGCTGGGGGGTGGGGTAGTGGGGACACAAAAGGACAGTCAGAGGTAGACAGCCAGATCGTGCCATGAAAAAACCCCAGAAGCTTCCTGGCCTAGATGAAGACCAAGTGGCCAGACTGTGCCCTGGAGACTGGAGGTCACTAGCTTGCAGGAGGCCTGAGTGCTGGCCCGTACTTGGCAGATTTTCTGTCTTCGGAGGCCTGAGCTCAAAAATGGAACTGTCCCTACTTTCTGGAGACAGACTAGGTTGGGGACAAAGGACAGCACAGAGAATGTTTGTTATGGACATCGGAGTCCATAACAAAGAGGCCAAAGAGATGGGAAAGCCACACACCCGTAAGTTCTATAGGTTTCTCAGACCACCAGAATTTCTCAGTGGCCAAGAAGGTCCAGGCCACCAAGATCACCTCAGTCAGATGCTGCAAGACTTGTGTCAGCCTCGGGCTGGGGATTTAGCTCAGCGGCATAAGCGCCTGCCTTGCAAGCAGGCAGTCTGAGTTCGTTCCCGGTATTGATAAAAAGGAAAAAGGCAAAAAAAAAAAAAAAATTTCTCAAGCCGGGCGTGGTGGCTCATGCCTGTAATCCCAGCACTTGGGAGGCTGAGGCAGGAGGATTGTTGGGAATTCGAGACCAGCCTGGGCTACAAAGTGAGCTCAAGGACAGCCTGAACTGCGTAGCAACACCCTGTCTCTAAAAATACAAAAAAAAAAAAAAAAGACTTGTGTCAGCCTCTCCAGCAGCCACTTCAGCTGTGCAGCAGCCACAGCTTCCTTGAGAAAAGGGACGGAAGAGACAGGGCTAAGATAAGACGGGCATCTCCTCCTGGACCTTTCCAAGCCTCCCCAGCCTCATCTCCTCCTCTTCTCTACCATCGTCCATAAGTCATGTCCCTGGGCTCTGTGTTTAGAAAGACTCTGAGAATTCATTCAAGCTCAGGGCAGAGAGTTCTGTGATGCCTTCCCAGGGCAACAGAAGGGAGGTGGAATGTGTGCTAACGTTCCAGTTCTGGGGTCCTGGATCCTGCCCCAGCCTGCAAGACAGGCCAACAAGGGCTCATCTTGCACACATAGACTTTAGTGGTAAGCAGCTGGATGGTGGCACGCTGCCATGCCAGGTACTCATAGAAATGTGTGAGTACCAATGTGTCACCATCTGGTCTTCATGGCTTAGACAGAAAAAGATGACCCATGTGGGCAGAAGGAGTCAGCAGGACTGGGCAGCTTCTTTGTTCATGCAGAGTGAGTTGACTAATTTTTCCCAACCTGCATCTCCAGGGCAGGACCTGCCTCTTACTGCATCCTCCCGATACTGTGTATGATGCATCTGAAAACCAGATCCCAGGTCTTTGTGCACAGCAAGCAGAGAACTGCAAGTGTATACCCAATGGTAAAAGAAAAGCCAGCTGCATTTATTGAAGATAATGGAAGACGGGCCTAGGTTCATGCCAGCAGAAACCAGCAGGTGGCATAAATGGGAAAAGTCATGCCAGGACTGCAGGGGAATAGGAAGAAGGAAAGATAAATCAGGGTTTCAGACTTAAGAGATTTGCGTGGCAGCCCAGGTGACTCTCAATGGATCTCTCTGGATAAGACTGACAGAAATGACGGACACCCTAGAGATACCTTAGTACACAGGACTCCCCAAGAATCCACTCGGTTTTAATCGCATGGGTGCTATGTGGTCCCTCAGGGTGACAGTTAACTAAAAGTAAAACAAAGCTTACCCTTTATTTTGTAAAACTCTGGGTCAGAGCACAGCTTCTAGGCCAGCCTCCTCACCTCTAGGCTGGCCCCAGCGCGACGCTCGGGGCCTTCTGTCTTGTTACTATACAGGCATCATCATCATCTGAAGTTCATATCTGATCACTTGCTCCCTCTCGAAATACCCTCCCACCCCGTGTGCTCCGTCTTGGGGTGTTTCTCCTCACACCCACCACAGTCACACTCCCTGGACTTGTTTGCACTAGCCTGGATTACTGTCTGTCTCTGGTCTCCTCTTAGACTGCAATCCACTTACCCTTTGATAGGACCAGGCCTTGTGATATTGAGGACTGGATTGTGGAAAAGGACTTTGTGGACCTGGAGACAGCTTAAAGGGTGCCTAGAGAGCTGTGGTCTGGCATGGGCACTGGAGTAAGACATGAAGCAGGCAGCAAACCAGAGCTAGCTTGGCCCTTCTGGACACCCAGCCAGGGCCTTCCAGAAAGTTTGCAGGACCCCACTCTGGATCTCAAGTAGGTGGAAGACACTCTCTGGTCATACCTTACTGACCCATGCAAGAGGCTATAATCTTTCCCACTCTTCACAGGAACTGAAGACTGTCAGTGGACAGAACATTTGGGGGCCACCCCTTTCCCCAACATACATTCACAGGTTAGGTGGCTTGAGTAGGAATGAAACCATTCTGGTTCTGGGAACAGCACATGGCCCAGCAAGGCAAGTCGAGATGTTGCCATCCTTGGTCACCATGATGGTGTCAAGCAAGGTCATTGTGAGTGAATCCTGGGACCACGGCTGCTCTTTCTGGGAATGAGGGACCAGACATATATAAAAGGCTGACACCTGGTTAGGCCATTAGACTTCCCCAAGGAGAGGCTCTGGAGGCCACTGAGAGCATGATCAGCATGGGCCCTTCCCCAGAGGAGAGGCAGAAATAGGACCAGGAAGCCTCTAGGAGCCAGGGTTGCCCATAGCCAGCTGTCCTGGAGGCAAGCAGGCCCAGCAGGACAATTACACGGCAAGGCCCGTGGAGAGAAACTGGGCCCAGGTCTGCCATGCTCAGAGGTGCCAGTGGTTCTTGGTTTATTGCCTTGGAGCCTAACAGCCCCATCCTATGCAGGCAGCTCCACATCCAGATTTGCCGTCATGGATCTGGGGCCATGTGACTGCACTGAAAGGGAGGAATGAGATTGATAAACCAGAGAGAAAGAGGACAGCAAGATGAGGAAGCTTAGAGAATTGAGAGGCATTTGTTCACTTACTCGTTCATTCAATAGAGAGACTCAGAGACACAAAAATCATGGAGGGAATGCACAAGAATAAGTGACACAAAAGAAGTCATTGTGTCTCTCAGCCCTTCAAGAGCACCTCTAATACGATCTTTCAGGGGCTCTAACTGCCTACCTCAGATGGTCAGGAGAGGGCTGTGGGTGTCCAGGGACTCAAGAAAGCCTCCACTTGCTCATACCATGCCACCACCTACAGCCAACACAGCAAGCTGAGAGCCACTGCCGTGGGGCCACGAGTGCACCAGTGCTGAGGCCTCCATTTCAGAGAGACTAGCACAGGAGGAAGGGACAGTCATATCACTGACGCCCTGCCGTGAGGCCACGGGTGCACCAGTGCTGAGGCCTCCATTTCAGAGAGACTAGCACAGGAGGAAGGGACAGTCACATCACTGATGCCCACCTGAGGCCCAGGGCAAGGTGACATCCACAGGATCTGAGAGAAGCCAGGGAAGGATTCTACCAGCCCTTCCAGAAGCAGACAAGAGGCTGGGCAGCACCCAGGAGACGGAGGAAGGCTTCGCCGCTGCTCCAAGGCCACCCCCGCACCAGCATTAACTCCTGGGCACCATCAGGTCAGCTAGGATCACACGAGGAAAGCCAGGAGCTTGTTCCTGTCCCAGCATCTGGTGATGACGTCCTGCCCAGCTTTTCCTTGAGCACAGCCAGTGTTGGAGCCGCTAAAGCTGAATACATGTGCGGGGCTGTGGCGTGGCCCCAGCATGATTGAACCAAGAACGAGGAGCTACCTCAGGGGGCAAGATAGGCCACAGCTGAGGCCAGCTGGAGACTTTCTGGAAAGTTTTCCTTAATTAGCATCGTCTGTTGCCCTGAGGGGTCCTTGAAAACCTCCCAAGATCCTGCTTAGGGTTCCTGCATTTTCCACTCAACTCCTTGCTTGTTCTGATTAAATATGGGCTGCCTAAGGTCAGTTGATTGGCCAGCCAGCAGAGTTATAAATTTTGCAGAGGATTTTAGTCCTTCTGGAGCCCTAAAGATCATGCCACTTGTCTCATTCTTTTGGGACTTTGCTGTGTACCCATTTGAGGGGTGGGGATCTAGGCCTAGACCCCAAGAAGCCAGCACCTGTGCCAGGCCCAGTCTGTACCCCTCCCTTGAGTGCTTTGACTGCTCCCACACTGTCATATCTTCTGCCCTAGATTTCTTTCCCAACACCAGGAGTGTTCATGACACAGGCACTATGTGTGACTGTCTGTACAATCAATACCATAGCAGGTAGAGTACCAGAGGCTCAGCATCTGATACTTCAGCTCAGAGTGGGCAGGGCCCAGGCAATGGTAGTGGCCTACTCAAGAATCCTCCCAAAGCAGCCATTTCCATGTCTCTGAGAATCTCCAGCAGAAGAAATCTCTGTGATGTGATCTCTGTGATCCCTCCCCTTTCCTGACTGCCACAAACCCATGTACTCCCCATTGCCTGGAAATGAATGTCCTCTTCCTCAGGAAGGCTCAATAGCTAGTCCCCACCTTTCCGGTGTCACCTCTGCCTTTGCCTCCGCATCCCTGCTGGCATGCATGGACTCCCCCAGTGCCCCCTCCCCAGTCCTCATACCTCCAGCAACTATTAGTGTGGCCCTTCCCTCTTCCAAGGACACCAGCTGAAATTCAAGGTCATATCCAGGAGTCTTTCCTACCCCTCCTCATGCCAGGTGACCTAGGGATCCTGCTACCCTGGTTAAGCTGGTACATGGTATGGTCAGTTCCATGGAGGGACGCTCTCCAGGACTTACCTGTTGCCCACACAGCACTGGGAGTCTTAACTTTCCTGGCTGCTTACTTGTATTTTATTGGAGTGTCTGTTAAAAGTAAAACTGTCCAGTTGTGAACAACTAAAAAGCAACCAGGGCAGATGAAGAAGGCCCAAGTTGCCACCACCTACTCCTGAGGATGATGGGAAATGCCCAGGAAAGCAAGCCAGGGTGCACCTGAACACATGAAGAATCTCTGAAAGGAAAAAAAGAGGCAGCCAGACTGGTTTCTCAGGGGGCCTCCATACAACAGCCACCTCTCAGGACAGGACAGTTGCAGTGTGGTTGCTTCTGGGAGCCATTCTGGGCACAGCAAGCCCTTGACAGGTAGGCAGGGGACTCAGAGAAGGTTAAGGTCTCTATTTATGGGTTGACAGTAACATCTTCTGTCTCATCCAAGAATTGTGTCCATATCTGTCACATAACCTATGAAGAGTGCCTTTGAAAACTGATGCCCAAGAGTGAGCAACATTCTCTGCAGAAACCTCATGTCCAAAGTTCTCGGACTCTAATATCCTCCCCTGGCCCCCAGACCTAAGAGTACTGATTCTCCAGACAGTGGCATCCATCCTCTCTGATAATCCGGTTTGTCTGTCTTTGAATAATGCCGGACAATCACTCTTTTATATTAGATTCTGTTCACTGGTTTGAGTTCCATCCCATGAACACACAGGGAGGTTTGTGTGACAACGTACAACCTCACTGACTGCTGTTACTGGGAAACTAGTCTGGAAAGTAGGAGTGCTTGTGAAATCTTTTAAGTTTTCTAGACTTCAAAGATTGTTACTATGTTCTGTGAAGCACCATCTATATCCCTTAATAGTTTGCGATCCTAATTGGTTAATTAATATTTTTGTTGTCAGATGTGGTGAGACAAGCCTGTAATCCCAGCATTCAGGAGGCTGAGGCAGGAGGATCGCTGGGAGTTTGAGGAACTGAGTTCAAGGCAAGCCTATACTACATAGTGATACTCTGTCTCCAAAAGCAAAAACAAAAGATAAGCCAAAACAAAGACAAACAAAATATTTTTGTTGCCTTGGTAATAATAAGATAGATGTGACATCTGTGAGATTTCTTTGGTTATACATGAATTACTGAGATATAATTTTACCCTCTATGTGTAATAGAACAATGCCATAAAGCCAGCAACTCTCGGTTTCTTATTCAAAGTGTTAGAATCTTTATACATTTAAAACATAGCTGGTATTTGGTGATTTTTCATTGGTTTTCTTTTCTCCATGTTACTGAGTTTTAGAAGCTTTCTGTTTCCTATTGATTACATATCGTGCACCAAGGGGAAGCATTCCTAAGGACACTTGCTGTGCCACCCATGTAAAGAACCTCCCAGAGTCAGAGACAAGGACTCCCAGATGAAAAAGATGAAAGGGGGCAGATGAAAACAGATGAATCTTTATTACCAGTTGGACCACTCAGGGGATCCTTGCAATTCGAAGCAGGAAACTTGGGTAGGACTCCGGACGGAGCATTAAGAGAGTATTTTTGGTCCACTGATCCAAAAAGTTCAAGGCGGGAGCATGGGTCTCCTGCCACAGCTCAGCACCCAGGAAAGCCTTCACTCACTCACGCCATGCTGCCAGTCGTGGCCGTCCCTCAAACACATCATAGCCAAAAATCACTGGCTGCAGAGACAAAGTGGGAAAGGGTGGAGATACTAAGGCCCAGTGGTGGCAGCATAGCCCTGATATTAGGTCCCTTCCCCAACCCTCATATGAATCTCCAGCAGAAGAAATCTCTGCCCCAGGGCAGTGCAGTGTCAGCCTCAGACCCTGACAGCAAGCAGAAGGAGACCCCACATCTAAGCAGGAACATCAGGCTCTGGCCCCGACTCAGTCAGACTTGCTTTGGGATTCTGAGCAAATCCTGGCTCTCCCAGGTCTTGGCACTTCTATCCGACTCATAGGGCTGGGAATAGGACAGGGGCTGAGCTGGGTGTGGTGGCACACAGCTGTAGTCCCAGTACTCAACAGGCTGAGCCAGAATGATCACCATGCATTCAAGGCCAGACTGGGCTACAGCGTCAGTTCAAGATCAGTCTGACCTACATAGTGAGCCCCTGTCTCCAAAACACAAATGAAAGCCACAGCCACTACTTCACTGGCTGCTCTCACACCTGCATCAGCTCCTCCAGTGACATGAGATCGGCCAGTGTCATCTCCTGGCCCATGAGGAAGGCCTTGTCCCTCAGGAACTTGTCTTCCAGCTGCTGCAGAGCCTGGCTCATTCCGGTCTTATTGCGTTCCACCTCTTCCTCAGGTATCTGGAGCCCCATGAGCGGGGCTATAATCTGTGGGGATAAATGGTGAACTCAATCTGTGACTCCAGCTTTGTTAGTTCCCTGAGGCTCAAGTCCTCCCCTGATGGCTCTCCTTACCCGGGCCCACAGGGTCACACCAAAGGTGCCACGGATGTTGTCAGCATGCCAGCCCAGGTACTCATGGATGCGGGCACGGGACTGCAGGTCAGGGGGGTACCAGTGGTCTCCCACCTGGCACCTACAACTCAGGTAAATCAGGATGGCTGAGCTGGAGACAGGAGTGGGAAGTGTGACTGGAAAGCCTTTGGTACCAGGCATTTAACCCAGGTTACTCCCATCTCCCATGAACCCCTCTCAGCATTTGATGGACTGTCCCCTGGCCCCAGATCTCATCTCAGCTCTCTGGCTCTGCCTTCTCCTTGGACTACACTGCCTTTCTTTTTCATTTTGTTTTGTGGTAGTATGGATTGAACCCAGGGCTTCATGCAAGCTACATTCCCTGCTTCTCTTTGTTTCTTTGTTGTCTTAGGCCCTGTTGGCCAGAACATCACTTTGCCCTTTTAGAGTTTCATCTCTGTGAACCCCTAGGGTCCTGCTATGTAGTCTAGGCTGGCTTGAACTCACTATGTAAGCCCAGGCTGGCCTTGAACTGGCAGGACAATCCTCCTGCCTCAGCCTCTCGAAGGCTGGAATTACAGGTGTGCTTGTTGACCTTTTAGCATATGAGGAAACTAGAGCTCTGAAGAGTCAAGCAACATGTCTGAGGCTGCTCAGCTCAGAAGAGGATTCCTGGGCCCCTAGAGCCTTGCATGGAGCAGGTATGGGGGTGCTCTATGGATTCCCTTAAACATCCATGTACAGGGCTCAGAGATCAGGAAAGGAATCACATCCTTAGATTTCTCAACATGTCTCCCAGCCATCACTTCTGCAGCTACCTGACCTCTTATCCTCTTCCTGCCTGGCTCTTGGTAGTTTATCTAATATTCCTCTTTAACATGCTTTATTCTCCACAGGAAACATGGAGATAAAAATCCTTAGATATTTTTTCCAGATAATAGCATGGAAAAATAATGTGTCTAATTGCTGAAACTATCATAGTCTAGCCTTTAAAACAGACCAGGAGGCAGGTCGTGGTGGTGCACACTGTAATCCCAGCACATAGGAGGATCCTTGAGTTCCAGGCCAGCTTGAGCTATAAAGTGAGTTCAAGGCCAGGCTGACCTACATAGCAAAACCCTCTCTCAAAAAATGAGAAGGAGAAGAAAAAGGAGAAGAGGAAGACAAAGAGGAAGAAGAGAAAGAAAGAGCAAACAAACAAACCAATCAAGAAATATTCTGACCCACTCCTCACATTTGGCCTCTATTTCCCCAATCTAATAGTAAAGTGTATCTATTCAGGGCCTCAGATGATGATCTAGACTATAAGCCAGGACTCTCCTGACAAATTCACAGAACTTTCTCCCACTCAACACGCAGCTCAACAGTTCTCAACTACATAGATACTAACTCTTTTCTCATTGTTTCCTGATAGGTACTTATCGGCCCAGCCAGTAAATCCCAATATCCCAAGGTATTAAAAGAGCACATAGGTAGGATGTGGTAGTTGGACCAGCAGCTATATGAAGAAAGAGACCTCCAGTCCCTCAGGACCCATAAAGAACTATAGGGATTATGTCTCTTGGGAAATGAGGTAAGAGATTAGGGCTGGGGCAAAACTAGTCAGACTGGGGGTAATCTGTCAGTCACAGAGACCCAGGGCATATGTGCAGAAAAGTAGATCTGAAGATGACTCTGCAATTCCTGAGCACTGTATGCAGGGCCAATCAGAGAAGCACTATTTTCAATCCTTAATTTATATCTGGCACAAAGCCACATGAGTCTATAGGCCAGTTTATATCCGGCATCAGGCCAAGTGCATGTTTGCCTGGACAACCATCCTGAATGCTTTATTTGCATGAGTGAGAAGCCAATCTAGGAATTCCAAATATAAAAGACTCTGTCCATCCTCTTCATGGCTTCTGTAAATCTATTCACTAGCCCCCACACTCTGCATAGTATAGTAACTTTCCACCTTTAATAAATGTACACCCTGTTACCATTTTTGTGTGTCTTGCACAATTTTTTGTTCAGTACACCAAGCACGTGGAAAGAATTTTCCTGGAACCCAAAGGTCAGTACAGGAGAACCCACAGGTGGGTTGCTGGCACAGGGCCAGCTTGGGTAGCCTGGGGTCAGGAACCTCTGAGAATTCAGGAGAGGCCCTTTCCAACTTCCATTTGTGGAACCTACTCTCTGCCCAACACTATTAATCTGTCTTCCATACCCCTTTGGGGATGGAGAGACCCCAGAGACCAGCAGAGGAGGTTAAGGACAAGAGAGGAACAGAAACAGGAGTAAGCCTCCAGTCACCCCAGACTGGTCATGAAGCTATCTGCTTTCCCCGTAAATGACCCCATAGACTCTGAGAGGACCCACAATAGGGAAGAAAAGGAGGCCAGGTGGGCTTAGGGCTTAGAAAGTGAACGGAAAGAAGGGCACCTTTCACTCAGGAAGAAGTCCCCGTCTTTGAGGACAGGCACCTTCTGCAGGCTGTTAACTTGGGAAAACTCCTCAGTCAAATGCTGCCCTAAGAAAGAAGCAGTCAGAAAATGAGTGCAGGGCACAAGCTGCGCTCCTTTGCCCTTCCTTTCCCTCTCTCCCACTAGAGCCACACTCCAGGGCTGGAGCCAGTGGGCTGCTCAGCCTCATCCCTGGCTAGGCCCCTTTGGCCTACAAGTGGGAATGCCCTGCCTGCGGTGCCACTCCAGAGGCAGCCAAGGGACGTTAGTAGATGCGAGAGGACGCTGCAGATGGTTCGAAAGAAGTTATTTAGCTCTGGTAGTCAGGCCAAGGGACCAGCAGCACCAAGGCGTGAGGCTCAGCTCTTCCCCTGTCTTCCCCAAGTCCTGGAAATGTAGCGGCATGGCGTCAAGGCATGCTGCAGACTAAAAAGTACAATCACCATCCCATGCAGAGGGCTGAACTTTAAGGCTCCGCAGCGGGGTGGGCAGCACTGTGGAAGCAAAGAGGGCATCTGACGGCCCTGGGGAAGAAGAGAAGTGAAGGCGCCCAGGTTAGAGCCCGCAAGGGTTCTGTGGGTGCACTGGGTCTGCAGAGCCATAAAGATCACCTTTGAACAGATTCACGGTGTGCAGCTGGAAGGGAATGCCGGTTTTTTTGGCGAAGAGGTAGACAGCGCGGCAGGGCTGCGACAGGAGGTCCAGGTAGAGCTCAAGGCCCATGGTGCGGGTGAAGCCCTGGCGTTCGCAGACTTTCTATTTTCTCTTGAGATTGGGGGGGGGGGTTGAACCCGAGACAAAATCCTCCCCTTTTACGCCCACGTTGGTTCCAGCTCAATCCGGTCCTCCCTGGCGGAGACGATACCGGGCTGCTTTTCCGCATCGCTGCGTGAGCGAGGGGCGGGGCTACCACCCTCGGCGGCCACGCCCCCAGGCGCCAGTCCCGCCCTCAGGCTCCGCCCCCCTCGGAGTAACTCGCTGGGTTTCCTTGGCAATAGGTGGCTCAGGCTGGTTACAGTGTAGTGTCCATCATTTAGGAGGCAGTTACCACCGGCCACTGTGACCAGGACCCCTGTGGGCACTGTGGGTCCGTCTTTTCAATCATGTATATGTTTCCAAAAAAGCACAAAAGGCAGACACTATAATATCCTACATTTGATTACATATGTCTCTGTCATTAATTACTAGGCAGAATTCACTCTTACAGAAACAGCAACTAAACAAGGTTACTATTGTACGACATAGAGGAAGAATCCATCATTGTCTGAGACCGGGCAGAGATGTCCTTGCAGTGATAACTCTCTGGAACTTGGAAGTAAGAGAAACATTTTTTCCTGGCTGAGCTTCACTTAATTTGCAATTGGCACCCAGAGTGTCAAGGCTTAAGTTTGTAGCTTTCTTTTTTTTATTTTTATTTTTTTGTCTTTTTCTTTTTTATCGGTACCGGGGACTGAACTCACAACTACACACTTGCAAGGCAGGTGCTCATGCTGCTGAGCTAAATCCCCAGCCCCAAGTTTGTAGCTTTCTAACCATGGCTGCGTCTCACTCTTGAACAGTGTTAGAAATATGCTTAGTATTAGAAATACAAGTTTTTAAAGTTTCTCTGCATTAAAGTAGCTTCTACACTGCCTTTGGGAGAAATTTATTGCCTGGTTAAAGAGGGAGAGAAGGATATGTATCTTTTTTTTTTTTTTTTTGGTCTTTTTCATTTTTTATCGGTACCAGGGATCGAACTCACGACTGCCTGCTTGCAAGGCAGGCGCTTAGGCCGCTGAGCTAAATCCCCAGCCCCGGGAGAGAAGGATAGATAGACACACACCAGTAGGTGATGAGAGGATCACAAGGAATCCCAGCCTAGAACTAGGCTTTGGCTAAACCAGGATTCTCCTTTCATCCAATTCCATTTCAGAGCTTCTGGGTCCAATAGACCAAGTATGAGACTACAGTGCTAGAAGAAGACCCTCTCTTACTAATCCTTGCTAATGAGACCTCCCATGGGACCACAGTATGTCTTGATTGGTTTTCTTATTGCTGAGACAAAATACCTGACACCCAAAGTTAAAGGAGAAAAGGTGGGGGCTGGAGATTTAGCTCAGTGGCATAAGTGTCTGCTTTGCAAGCAGGCAGTCGTGAGTTCGATCCCTGGTACCGATAAAAAACAAAAAAACAAACAAAGACAAAAAAAATAAAGGAGAAAAGGTTTATTTGGCTTATGGTTTTATAGTAGTCTCAACCCATATTTGGCTGGCTCCAAGGCAGGGTAGCATGGCAGAGGGGCATTGCAGAGGACAAATAGTTCGTGGCAGGCTGAAGGCAGCAAAAGCAGCAAGCCACAACCAGTGAACCTGTATCTGTCCCTTGTATCTTATCCAGGTTACCCACCCTTGGGGCAGGTGACACTCACCCCCAGAATAAAGCATCTTTAATTGTAGCTTTACCTCATGAATCAATCCCAGCATCACATCCTTGATCCCAGCATCACACACCTAATCACCTCCTAGAAGCCCATCTGTGACTGCATGAGGTTTGGCAGAGATGTCTAATAGATGCCATAACACACTTCATCTTTTTTTTTTAATCGGTACCAGGGATCGAACTCACGACTGCCTGCTTGCAAGGCAGGTGCTTATGCCGCTGAGCTAAATCCCCAGCCCAGCACACTTCATCTTGATGTTCGTGCTTTGTTCATCGTACTCCAGGGCACCTTGGGGTCTAAACCCACATTCCTGTGATTGTTTCCCTACAAAACCTGTCATGACAGTAGGTGAAATATCCCAATAAAGGATTCAGCAAGCTCCCAAAGCTTTCTGAGCCTGCTTTGTTATCTGTAAAATAACTGATGCTTTGCCCTTTTATAGGGTTCTTACAGAGACCTAGTGAGAGTCTGAAAGTGTCTCAGTCACCAAATGCAAGGAAAAAGGCAGAAAGTCAACCCACATGGCTTCAGGAGCCACTGGGAAGAAAAGGGGCTGAAAGCAACCTGTTGGGGCTGTCATCAGAAAGGACCCAAGCAATTCTCTCAGAAAGGGGGTAATTACCATGCAATGCACAGCATGTGAGAGACTGTGGCAGAGTCCCACCTGGGACAGTGGAGATGAACAAATTACCCAGAGTCCAAGATTGCAAGAGCACTGAGAGACCAGAGGGACAATGCCAAAGGATGCAAAACAAGCTCAGAATGAGGTTAGTTCAGCCTTTATTCAAAATACCAGGAATAACTTGGCTTGGTGGTCCATGCCTGAGAATGCAGCACGTGGGAGGTTGAGGAAGGAGAATCATTGTGAGTTCAAGGCTAGCCCTGGCTACAAACAAGTTCAGGCCCAGCCTGAATTCCATACTGAAACCCTGACCGAAAAACATGACAAAAGATCAAGAATTGAGAGCAAAGGACAAGTTAAGAAAATGATTACTCAAGGGACATCAAGTACAGGTATGTAACAAGCTAGAGGCATTCTGGTGCTAATCTCAGCACTCATCAGATAAGATGAAGAAACACTGGAGTTTGGTTTGTTTAACTAAACTGATCAGATTAGCTGATGGTTCCATCTTGTACTGTTCTCAGGACGCATTCTTTCTGCTCTATGGCTCCGAGCAGAACAGTTTGCTACATTCAATGTGCACTGTTTGCTGTGTGTAGCCATCTGCTACAGAAAAGTGTAGCAGAAGCTGTAATTACAGCTGCCCAGTTATCAGTATTCCCAATGCTGCAGGTGGTTAGATTCACCAATCATCAAGCAATATAGGAAGGTTGAAGAGTTTCTTAATTTACTGTAAGAGAGCAGAGTGAATTCTGCGTGAGGAATCTGCCAACAGAGACCAGCAGGGAACTTCACATTTGATTTTAATGTGAGGTGAGGGTTTGACAAGTCACCCTAAGTAACACTCTCATCAGGTCAAGTGGTATCATCATCTCAGTTTTGGGAAAACCCAGATATTGTTTGAAAGCTGAGTAAATATTTTGTTCATCAGGGTACAGTGTCTTTGGCATTGTTAGAAACATTCTGAGTATATTAACAAGTATGTGAAGATTAAAGTTAGTGATCAAGGGGGTTGGAACAAGATATATATCTGTATTTGACAGGGACTTTTGATGTTATATTGGGGTAGACAAATGTTTTTCATTGAAAGATGACAAGTAGTTAAATTGGCTAATAATGTATTCATAATCCTTGCATATGGATTACAAGTTTCTACTACAGATTCATTACTCAGTTGCAATGTGGCCTTTAAAGAAACAGTAAAATAACCATGATTACTCACACACTCACACCAACAACTCAGCAAAGTCAATTCATTGACTCAGGATGTCATGGTCAATCTTTGGTTACTTCTTCTGAGAAGGGATGAAGTGGGGCCTTGGTATTGGTTTTGCTGGACCAGGAGAGGAAGGGTCATATATTTAAGTTAACTCTTACTAGAGGCAGCCATCATTGCTGGGTAAGAGTGTGAATTATGGCTGGGCGTGGTGGCTCACGTCTATAATCCCAGCACCCGGGAGACTGAGGCAGGGCCTCGTTGCAAGTTCAAGACCAGCCTAGGCTACAAAGTGAGTTTAAGGCCAGCCTGAACCGCATAGCAAGACCTTGTCTCAAAAAAACAAACAAACAAAAAAAAGAGTGTGAATTATGGTCTACAGGTAGTATGTAGTGGAAGGAAAATTGATTCAAAAGACACAAACTGAAAAAAACAGTTACAGATACAAGGCTTTGCTAGGTGTTATGGCACACTTGTAATCTCAGCACTTGGGAGGCTGAGGCAGGAGAATCCCTGTGTGTTCAAGGCCAACCTGGGACATATTGTGAGTTCAAAACAAGCCTGAATTACATAGATTTTTTTTTTAGACCTTGTCTAATAAGACAAAACAAATTATCTCTTATTGTGAGAAGCCTTCTCCATGATGAGGAACCCTAAAGCCCATTTCCACATTAAGCTGTTTAAAGAGAGGGTAGGGTCAGACATAACTTAACTTCTTGATGGAAACCTTTAGAGAGTAAATGATATGTTATCTGAACTAGCAGGAATATAAACACAGACTTTGATGGATGTAATCTGGTGAAGACAAAATGCACTACCATATGAAATAAAAGAAGCTGAATTTTTTGCTGGAAATCTTGCTAAATTATTCTTAAATTGGCTCAGGAAAAACATGGCATTAACAACATCCCTTTGGTTGTACTCATCAGGTAGTTGTATGCAAGAGCCCTGCTAGTTCTATTTTTCTTTTGGTAAGGTTAACACAAATGATTGCATCAAGATTTTGACAGATCTCAACTTGCTCTGTACCCACTGTATTTGTGAGAGTGACTCTGAAAGCATCACTGATCAAATTATTGTTTCCATGGCCCCAGTTGTCAGTCTGTCCTGTTTGTCTTACCTGTCCCCACATTGAGGGGAAACAACTAACAATATAGAGTCAATGCTATAGCCACTTTTTAGCCCCATCTGAGCAACAAAGAGGTTTTTAAAAAATAGTTCTTAAGTCAAATTTACCTGCAGTCCATTGCTGTTTATTTTCATCTATAACAGAATTTTAGAGCCAGGTGTGGTGGCACATGCCTGTAGTCCCAGCACGTGGGAGGCTGAGGCAGGAGGATCTTTGTGAGTTTGAGACCAGCATGGGCTACAAAGTGAGCTTAAGACTGATAGAACTGTGGGGGGAGGAGGACCGGCAGCAGCTGAAAAGATAAGAAGTATGAAATATAAATGACCTTTATTTTGAGAATGGGGGAGAGACACTCCCAACCCCCTGGGGTGTGGCATCTCCACCCCCGGCCGTGGAACAAGTGGAGTTAGGCACATAAGTAGCCTCGGCTTGGGGTGGAACCCAAGGGGACATTAGGGATGCACAGGTAGCCCATGGGTCTTAGTTTGGCACCAGAGGTAGATTCCTAAGGGTAGGGGAGATAGGAGCTCCTTGGCTTTACCGGCTACAGTATCCGCCCTGGGCCAAAACCCTTTCAAAAACCAACCTGAATTGCATGCATAGCGAGACCCTGTCTCAAAAAAGACAAAACAAAACAAAACCCAGAATTTTATTCCTTTCCAAGTCTTATGTTTTCAACTTCAAAGTATGAGTGCTGTGAAAATTCACTTCATATAAAAGCAGTTTGTGCTCTCATTGTTTGTTTGATAATTTTTTCATGTCTATATCTTGTAATCTGAACAACTACTTTAAAGATAATTATATACAATATATTAGACAAAAATAAATAAGAAAAAGAAAAGGAAGCTTGATGTGTCATATATGTTTCTCAGGGAGATCCAAATTCTCATTTGCAAAATGAATCACCTGTTAGGGATTCCGCCACATAAATGCCCTTGGAAATGCATTATGGATTTCCAATCCCAACCTCCACTACTGTCACCAATAACCTTCAAAAAAACAAAAAGCAAAACACACTTTGAGTCCCCTGTTTTTCAGCCTTCAAATCTGTTCCCAGCATGGTGGTGCACGCCTGTAATCTCAGCACTTGGGAGGTTGATGGAGAGGATCTATGCGAGCTCGAGGCCAGCTCGGGCTTGGGTTACGTACGCGGTCAAGGCCAGCCTGAACTGTATACATACCAAGATCTTGTATAAAACCAAAACGTCAAAACTGAAATGAACACAGTAACTTACCAAAGACTCTGATTAATTCCGCCCCCAAAGTCGTTAGGGGAAACCCCAGGAAAGAAAAAAGAGAAGCAGTGGGAGTCCCCTGCATCCCTGCGCGGGGGTCTTTACCCTGGAAGTGCAGTCCAGGGCGCTGCCCCGGAGGAGAGCGCAAAGCCGAGACTGCGAGGCGGTACCCGCAGCCGATCTCGCGGGGCTGCCTAAGCTGGCGCCCCCGGGGCGCGCGGAGGTTCTGGAGGGGACTCCCTCGCGCTAGTCCCTAGCTTTTCGCTATTGGGCCAGGGTCCTAGCTACAGCCATTTTTAAGCTGTCCAGCTCAGAGCATGCGCAGTAGTTGTGCTGGGAGGGGGGCGCTTTTTCCAAGGGTCAGTTACAGGGCAGGGTCAAGGGGATAGCAGCGGGCGTTTCCCAGCAGCAGCGAGCTCGCACGCTACGAGACACGGCTCTTCAAATTTTGCTAACGGTGGCAGCTACAGCGTGCCCGCAAGCGTGTGTTCAAGAGCAGTGGGAGGATGAGGTGGGCCAGAAGAATTAGGTTGCAAAAGGACTCTGAGTGCATTAATACTTGGACTCTGTCTGTGTCTCTGAGGCCAAGGAAGTGAGCAGGCTGAGAGACCTACTGGGACCTCATACTGAGACCTCATCTCCCCTTAAAGGGGGTCGGAGCAGGAGACCGAGTCTGGGCCCCAGGTAGCTGCGGATCCGAGTCCCTGCCCCTTTAAGACAATTGTGCCCGCGGGGTGGGAAGCCTTCTAGCCTCCCGCCTGGCGCCTCCACCAGTGCAGGCCGCAGTGAGTCTTGCAAGCTCCCGGACGCGGCTCTTCAAACTGGTGTACCCCCTGGTGTAATGCGCCTCGCCCCTCTTTCCCGCGGTGGGAGACCCCGAGGCCGCCCGTGCACTCGCTCCCGCCCGGGAAAGGTGGCACCGACCCGGGGACAAAGGTCTGCGCACCACACCGGGCTCGATGAGTTCCGTCCCCGAGAAAGCCTGCATGTTGGGCCAGGTACCCTGGAGCCCTGGGTGGAGTCATTGCTGTGGTTGTGTAACAGTGAGGTGCTACCACCCCCACCTGTGTCACTTAGGCCTGCTTTGCGCCATTGTCTAGGGTAGGGTGGTCCGGTTTTTTTTTTTTTTGCATATGGGAGACAGGAGGCCCAGAGCAATAGTGAGTGTGCCCAGTGTTCTTGTCCTTGGGGTGGGGAATGAAGTGGGTTCCTTAACAGTATAGGAATCCAAGCAGTCAAATTGATAAATTTGGAATTTAATTAGCTGAGCTCAGCGACCATTCTTGTGAAGCCTTGTTTCAGAGCCTCGCCCAGTGGCACTGAACTGGAAAGTTACAAAGCTTTTAAAACACAGAACCACAAAAAGACATCCTGTTGGAAACAATTTAGCTAAAATCTTACATTGATTTTTGGTTGACACCGTATCCTGCTTCTTTGTTGAACAGGTTAATTTTTCTCCTGTGGGTGCAGCTCATTCTGCTTTTCTCATGGGACTTACACTTTGAGTAATTTTCCATTTTTCTGGGTCAAATGCAGGGCACTAGTTAAATGCAGAGCTCAAGATGGCGTCAGTCATGCCAAGCTACAACAGGGAAAGAGGCATAAACTTTTTGGGGAACCCTTCTCTAGAGAGCACGATCAACTCCCTGCACTCATTTTCGTCTGGGCGTGGGTGGGCGAGTCTTTATTACTGGAAGGGCTGGGGAAGCAGACACACCCAAGACCCAGTCCAAGCCCCCTGTCAGTGCACAGCCAGTATCTCTAGCTTGGTGGTCACTTTGGAAAGACTGGTGGGTAGTTACCTCCATCCTGCTTGGTTCATAGAAACTCCAATGGAAAATCCTGCGTGGAGAAACCTGGAGAGATTCAGTTGTCATGGATTTCCCGGGAACCCTCCTCTTCCTCCTCCTGCTGCTCTACAATCACAGTTGCTGGTTGTTGCTAAGGTCGCCTCCATGATAAGGCTTCCCTCTACAAGTCAGTCCAAACTAGGAACCTATCTAATCCAGAATAACCGTTTTCATCACCATCAGGGTGCACAAATAGTAACACAAAGTCACAATTCCCTGATCTTCCTCTCACCTCCAGGCTTCATACACAAAGATCTAAGCTAGGGTTGCTTCTCTGATGGGATAGCGTCAATCTATTTCCTAACGAGACACGGCTCTTCAAATTTTGCTAACGGTGGCAGCTACAGCGTGCCCGCAAGCGTGTGTTCAAGAGCAGTGGGAGGATGAGTTGGGCCAGAAGAATTAAGTTGCAAAAGGACTCTGGGTGCGTTAATACTTGGACTCTGTCTCTGTCTCTGAGGCCAAGGAAGTGAGCAGGCTGAGAGACCTACTGAGACCTCATACTGAGACCTCATCTCCCCTTAAAGGGGGTCGGTTCTGCCTCCTGAGAAGCAACAGGGAAAAAGTGGGGAGGGACAAGGCAGCAAGAGATATTGATCAGCTGAGGGAAAACCACATCTCATTGAAGGGCTGGTGGCCACAGGTAAGATGACTAACCCACTAGGACATTCCTTGTCAGCCAAATTGATTTTTGAGAGCATGACGGGGAATTTGGCTGCACATTTAGGACTTGAAGAACCTCATGAAGCTACATGAGACTGATGGAGTGATCCAGATTAATATCTAGTATGAAGGGCTACAAAATCATCAACAGTGAAAAACTCCCATGAGAGGTAAACAGTGTTTCACAGTAGAGAATTAGAGCAAGGTTATTGGGAATCCACCCAAGAAAAGCTGGCTACGAGTCCTAATTGTTGGTCTCAAAAAAAAAAAAAAACAAAACAGAGACAATTACAGTATTCCAACAATGGTCTGGAAGTCAATGTGTCTAGATCCTACCTCCTCACTCCCAAAGCAACCACTATTTATTCAGTATATACAGTGATAGCTGTATATACTGGGGCTGGTAAAGGATTACAATTCATCAGGAGACTCAAACTCGAGGGCATAGATAATCTTATTATTAGAAGTATTTTGATCTGTAATATAATCCTGAGATGACTCATGAAATTGTAGATGATCTTGGGGCTGGGGATTTAGCTTAGCAGCATAAGTGCCTGCCTTGCAAGCAGGCAGTCATGAGTTCAATCACAGTGCTGTATGACATGTTGGCTTTGTTTGCCTGAATAACAGGTGGCATGGATCGTATTGGAGTATCTCTCAAATATGAATCTAGAGGTATCTCTAGTGACATGAATACACTTAAGTTTGTTAAAAGAGGCTATATGGGTCATATGCATTTTCCATAACTGATTGGTTCTAAGACCTCTAGGATTGCAGCCCTGTTGAAGAACAGGCCTTGGAATGAGCTGCCAGGAAGGACGTGACATCACTGTCTGTCTAGCTTGAGTTCTGGTAACTTTAAATTCCTTTTGGCGAGCTCTAGAATTTTGATGAAGAACTCATGGAATTGTTTCGCTTTGTTAAAAGTGGAAATCAGGTTGACAAGAGCATCTACTTTTTGATGTTAAGACCTGGGAGATTAGAAGGGGCTCTAATATGATCAATAAAGAATGGAGCAGTTCATTAAGCATAGCTTTCTATAGTTTTAAACGTAGTTGTAATAAAGTAGGCTCCATGGTGGAGCAAACAGAAGTAGCTTCAATCTTCTGGGTTAGATATACTGCGTAAGGGGGAGTCACTTAAAATAGTAAGGGATTGATCTGCAAACTGTTCTAAATCATACAGAATAGCCTTGATTTCTGAGCACTATGCTGAATCCCCCTTCATAGGAAGGACCGCTGGAAGGAGCAGCTCCAGAAGCTGCTTTCCCCTTAGAAGAACCATCTGTAAGGTAAGTAGGAGCCCCTGTCAATGACTTTTGAAATGAGTGACCTTTGGGAGAATAAAAGAGTCAGCTAGGGAACTGAGCCAGTGCCAGAATAGGGCAGTTTGGAGTGATGTCTGTCTGTTGAGGATCTAGTCGTACTACAATGACAGCCAGATCATGTCCAGACAGCTGACATGCTCTATTTCTTCCCATGACCACTATTTTTGCTTATTAATCCACTGTCCTAACATTCCTGTAGGAGAATGAGATATCTGTAACATGAATGGATAAAGAGGTTGAATAATATCAACTCTAAAACATTGCCTAATTTCAGTTCTTGTTTGGCCACTTCTGTGAGTTGCTGGGGAGAATTTAAATCATTATTGCCTTGAAGAATGTTATATAGATTTTGTAACTCAAGGATTGCTATCCCTAATTTGGGCCTAAGCTAATTAATATCTCCTAACAGTTTTTGGAAATCATTTAAAGTTTGTAGATTATCTATCCTTATCTGAATCTTTTTGTGGTTTAATTACCTTCTCAGAAACAATAACGCCCAAATAACTGTAAGGACTTTTCATTTGTACTTTGTCAGGTGTGAGCCAAAGGCCAAAAGCAAGTAAAACTCTTTTGACTTCAAGTAGCATCAGTAAGTTAGCTTTAGAGGACATAGCAAGTAAGATGTCATCTATAGAGTGGATAATAGAAGCTTGAGAGAATTGAATTCTCCATCTTTTCAAAGCTTGTGCTACAATAGGTCATTCTTTGTCATTCACTAGGGAAACGTTGGCTGGCTCATGAAGATTAATGCTAGGTACTGAAAAAGAAAAAAAAAGTTCTATCCTGCAGGGAGAGTGGGATGTTGAAAAATCAGTCTTTGCACCTGCTTTGCAAGCAGGTGATTGTGAGTTCAACCCCTGGTACCAATAAAAATGAAAAAGACAAAAAAAAAAGAAAAGAAAGAAAGAAAGAAAAAGCAGTCTTTAAGATCAATTAACAATCATAGGTCAGTACTGTGGGATTATAGTAACACTAGGTAGACCAGGTTGTAACTCCCCCATTGGTGACATGCAAGCATTTACAGCTCTCAAGTCTTGTATTAATCTCCACTTGCCTGATCTTTTTTGGAATTACAAACACAGGAGTATTCCGTAGGCTAACAGGTGGCTCAAGGTGACCTATGTGTAGCTGCTCTTCTACGAATGTCAGTAAGATCTTAACTTCTCCTGAATTGGGGGCCATTGAGGAACCCAGTTTTGCTCTGTAGTTTTCCACTGAATTGGAAGTGCAGAAATAGGCAGAGAAGTGCCAATGGCCCCTGCTATAAATTTGACTCATATCCAATTCCAGATCTACCTTGTTTTATTAAAGGCTCAGCCAGAAGTGTACAAGCCTGTTAAGTTCTTTTCTTTTCACTTTTTTTTAACACCAAGTACATTTACTAGAAAAGAAGAAAGTTATGAAATATCCTAGTCTTTCCTTAAAAAATTAAGAATAAAAATGGCTCTAAATACCCTGTAATACTGTCATTCTCTTGAATGGTTTTACGTTGTCTTGATATGTTTGGTGCTACAGTATACGAAGTTATACTCAAAGATTTCAAGGAAAGAGATACTATGGTAACTACTTTTATGTCGGGATGTCTTGTGGTGAAACACTATTTTGCTTAAATGGTTATGTTTTGACCTGCGCTGTTTTGTTGTTATGCCCTCTTTTATCTCAGTCTCCTTTTTTTTTAATTAAGGGAAAAATAAAAAAAGCAGGATACATTATAGTAACCCACTTTGATTTCCTATTAACTTGATTTGAAACCCTGTATAGCCCTCACCATCTTGTTTTGACTGATCTTCCTCTATTCTGCTTTGCTTGATAGTACCAAGTTCGAAAGTACAAGCAACAACTGTAAAGACAATAAGATTCATTATGACACCCATTCCGGTT